CGGCTTGTGGGATGATATTCCACTCGTCGACAAGGGTGGCACCAAGCTCCTGGGTGCTTCTTGGCTGGACCTGACGGGCTGAAATACGGACCTGTAGCTCATTCCATACATGCTCAATGGGATTAAGAGCCGGACCGGTCAGCCCAAGCGAGTAATACATTTGTACCCTGTCTTTCCAAGTACTCTTAACGACATTGGCTGTATGGGGGCGAGCATTATCATCCATCAAAATGAGCCCATTTCCAATTGCACCAACATACAACCTTACCTGGGTGTTGAGGATCTCATCTCAATACCGCTAGGCAGTCAATGTGCCTCAACAATGAGGTCAGTTCGTTTATTCTAGTTAATTCCACCCCAGACCATTATTGATCCGCCGCCATAGCGGTCGTGTTCCGCATTGTTTGCATTCGCCATATTCTAGCACGGCTATCTGTGTAGTCCAGGCAGTACCTTGACTCTTCGGTGAAGTGGACATGCCGCCAGTCCATCCTGCTCCAAACAACAGGGTCTATGCCTCAATCTTATCGGAGCGGGAAGTGGTCTCTAGACAGCGAGATCAGTATACATGGTCTTCTCGATCACAGGCCACTTTAATGCAAACGTGTACGTATGGTTTGTGTTGACACACGCACCCCTGAAGCATTTTGAAGGTCAGAACAAAGTTGAATTGCATTTGCAAAACGGTTTCTTGATGACCAGAAAACGATCCTTAGCGTCAGTAGTCACCCTTGTTCTGCCACCACCATGTCGTCGAACAGGTGAACCATGTTGTTGGAACCTTGCCAAGGCTCTGGTGATAACCGTATTGCCAACACCAAAAACCTCACCAACATCACAATGGCGAGCCCCCTGCTCCACCATTAACTGCCCGCCACAACTCTGTTTCTGATAAATGCCCTCTAACATTTGCATTCGCCATTATTCAATCTTAAATGTTCAATATTTCAATGGAAAACGAAGAATAAACACCCTACATGTGTTGGTACGTGTATGCTGTGTCTAATAAAGACTATCAAAATACAGGGTCACCTTGTTTGCACTACATGCACGTGGAAATGGCCTATTATGTGTATACATGGTACGCTCTCGATACATTACTACACGATTTACAATATCATATGATGTAGAATGCACGAAACTTTGTGGAAAACTTGGTGCTTAGCAAACTTTAAGTAGTATACTTATTGAACAATTCTAAGAGAGGTCTTCATAAATTAAACTAGGATATCGATTAGACAGAAAGGTTTTTAAAGATTTTTTTTCACGTCTTTTTGGTTTAAATACCCCTAGTGATTTGAAAGGTTTCAAAGATTTGACTACTTTTTGCTCCCCTAGTTATTTGAAAAAATTCCAATATTTATAACTCTGAATATAGTTTCAGAGAAAAAGATGCTTGGGTCAGAAGACTGTAAGCGGATGGTAATTCGCACTGCCTAACCGGTTCTGATTCGGGAAAACTGCAAAGTGTTGCTGGTCTTGCTCACGAGGTCTTGAAAGCGTAATCAAATTGTCTTGTTGGTATATACCTTTCAGGTATTGTTCTCATATGATGCATCTTTTTTGGATGCAACGTCCGATTATTGCAAAAATACTGCACAGAACCGTGCTTTTCTTTTTTATTTGGATTTTGGGAAATATGTCACGACTGCGGCACTATTGTAAGGTGAAAATGGCGTGTAACCACCTTATGTGAACCAATGGGTTGCTGTTGCTAGGCAATGACATAGAATTCATAAATTGACATATAAAGATTGAATTTTGAAATCCATGACAATTGTTACCAAATCGTAACAAAAGGGACTAATATAGTTACATTACATGCATTTTTCATGTCAAATTAAAAGAATGGTTTCTTTTAATACCTGGGATTTATGATTTCAAGTCCCATATAAATAATGAAAGTAGAACACACATTGGAATAGAAAAAAATGGGATGACTTTCGAAAAGACCTAATTCGGGAATTTTTGTGTGTTATACACGTTTTCTTGATTTGTTACAAACGAAATTTATTGGGCCAGAATTATCACATTTGTACACTACAAAATTAAAATATTTTCATATATTGTAACAACTTTTAGCTTTAAAAACACTGCAATTAATAATCAATTACTGGGAAAGCATATTTCAATCTAGCCTTTATTAATTCGCCACTGCAGAATTACATTGCAAATAACTGTAGAAAGGATTCATGATCAATGAAGTGACCTGTACTGTTCGGGGAATTGAACCCGGGTGCCCAGATTCAGTCCAATGCTCTACCAACTCGGAGCTAATCAGATGGTTCCATATTTGATGTGTTGTTTTAAAGCAAGTGTGGAATCAACAAGACATGCTAATGCTAGCTTTTTATAAACAGTGCCATGCATAAATACCTTTACACCCATTGAAAAATACATTTTTGTAGATATACAAATATTCATCCATTTCAGAAATATTTTTGGTATCAATTTAGTAAAAATAATTTATTTTTTCTATCTTAAATACAGAGGAACTTTACTGAAAATGAAGAAAATAACATCAAAGTATACATGTACCTGTTCACAATTTTAAAGGAAATTGAAATTAATTAAAAATAATGCACTCAGAAGTGACTTTTTTCTAATATTCAACAGATTGTATTTTCATTTTGCCTCTCACCTTGTGCAACACAAATATCTATTGCAAAAATCTCAAATGTCCATTTTAAGACCTTGCGGTCCGCTAGAGAGTATGTTTAACAACTTTCATTTATTGGCATACCCTACGTTTTTGCAGAGGTTGAAGTCTGGCAACTGAATGTGACATCACAAATACGCTGTATGCTTTTCCTTACACTGTGCTATAATACGAGTCATGTGATACTGTGTAACATCATTACTTATGTCAACAAAACCAAGTCAAACTATATGGTACAAACAGTCAAGTTCCCTCTGTCAAGTTCCATGATGGGTAATTTGATGATGTGTTGATGTAGTGTTGTACAGGGCAACTTGTATACTGCTGAAAGTATCTGGAAGACTGCATGGCATGGTATGCACTGACATTTTGAGGGACATTACTATTTCTTTAATGCATTTGTTGGACCAGATCAACAAATAATAGCACCAGGATGATGGTACACTGTGTCACAGGATCAATATAGTCACTTAGTGAAGGGAGGGACATGTAATGGCGCCGGTGCGTGTACTGTTGAGAATGACTACTTCACTGCTAAAATTAAGAGAATCATTACTATAATCTTGCACAAATATTAATTTCTTACTTTGTCAATTTCTTATTTATAACATGCTAATCTTTTATTCATGCTAAACATGCATACAATTATACTTTAGATACCAGTTAATGTGTATGTGAACAACAATTTTTTTACATATTTTGGATTTCCGCTAATATATGAAAATGTTATTAATTTTCCTTTTAATTCTTTAATTGACCTTAAATGATAATGTTTATAAAGTTTACAGGCAATTACACTCAACTAGTGTAAACATCTATCTCAGAAATGTATAAAATCTTTGTAAAACATCCAATAAGCAAATTACAAGAGGTGTAAAGGTTTTTATGGATGGCACAGTATGTCAACATGATAATGGTAGGAAAATTTTTTGGCAGGAAATGGCTAAAAAATGTAATTAGCAAAAATACAAGTTATCATTTTTTATTAATTTTATTCAGCAAAAATATATATCTGCACAGTAAAAAATCTCTATGTACTATTTGTACATATAAAATAAACTTAAGATATACATTCAAATATTTATTGTTATCTGAAATTCATTGAGATTACAATTAATATCGTTTAACAGGGCCTTTCAAATAGAAGTTCTTCTTGAAAGATGGCAACCCTGTAAACATATTTAAAAAAAAATTGAAAAAGAAAAAAATCAAAAATATTCTTTATTTGGGGGTTGTAATTAATGTATTATTCTTGAACACTGTATAATCATGTAGTTTATAGAAGAACATAATCTAAACAGTTTGAGTATTTTTCAGGGCACAAAAGTCTAATTTAATTATTCACTCATTGCTTTAAATTTTCCAGAAATATCACATGTGGAATCTATTTAACAAAATAATCAACATGGCTCTTAAATATACAACATAATTCTAAAATATTCAACATTTTAAATCTTTAACAAAAAACGGCAACTATATTACACATTTGTGTTTATTTAATGGAGAAATCAAGGTGAATTTTATGTTGTCAAACTGTTGACAATTCATCAATATGTAAAAGATATTCTCAATATGTTTACCAAAACTTTATAGAGGGATCTTCATGGGGTAATCATTTTCTTGTGAACGGATATAAAATTTAGTATAGCACTAATATAAAATATATACAAGCAATATATTATTTACAATTTGTACATGTTGAGTCAAATATGGAACACGATAGTGATTAAACCACTGTGTGTATCTCTATAGTTATATAAAAATACAACAGCAATTTCTTCTACTTCAAAGAAATAATATTGGCTGACACAATGATACGATTCATATTGGTTATCTATCACATAACTTATTTGAAAACTACTTTGAAACTTTTCAAAAATATCAATTTTCTTCATTCTTTAAATAACAGAGTACCTGTAGAAAATGTTTGTACTTAGATGGATTAAAACTCATGAAAATCATGCACAGTTAGGAGAAAAATATAAATGCCTTTTACAAATTTATTATCAGATGCCTATTCCCTGAGGCCAAAAAAATATAAAATATTCATTTCTGTATTTTGGCATTTTATCAACCTATTTATTTAACAACTGTGATAATGGTACTTCTACTACTTTGTTCTGAAAGTGTAAATGCATGCTGACATGCTCATACAATACAAGTAGTCAATCATTTATTACATGTAACTTAAGTAATGTCTATACTAACATATCATGATGGCAATAGTCATAAAATTATGTTTAGTGCTTTAATAAAATATATTCAGTGACATGCCATGATCCCCAGTGTCATATCAACATGTACTGTGTCATAATAACAATATTAATGTCATAACATCATATCTTGTGTCATGACACCATGATAACTGTCACAACATCTCATTGTCTTTAACATTTGTATAGTTTTGTATTATTGACATCATTTTATTGAGTTACGCACATGTATATTATATAGTGTAGCATTTTTATCTTTACATTCGCTCTTGATCGGTTACAACTTCAGTTTCTATTCTATACTCTGGTTCAGTGTCATAAACATCTTGCTGTCTGGGAACGTCGTCCTTCAATTCGACAACGATGGCGTCTTGATCATCCTCAAAATACGTCGTCTCTTCAACGTACTGAGGAGATGGTGAACGTTTCTGAACGACGGCATATTGCACATGCACAGGATCTGGCTGAACTACCCTCGGTGGATCATCCTGGATCACTATGTTTTGCTCTTCAGTAACAAATGCACGATTATCATAAATTACTGGTTCAACAATTACAGGTTCTTGTTCCTGAAACAAAACAGTTTCCCATTTAAATTGTGGTGAAAATATTGACTTGCATATAATACCAGTACAGAATGGACAGGCCAGTCTAAGAATCTGTGTAGTTTTACATGGCTCTCTTACAGTAACCACTCCCATTTTGAAAATGAAACCCCTTTAACAATGCGCAAATCCAAAGCAATGCAAGAAAAATTAACTGTGTATGGATTTAATTCTTAACCATCTCAATTTGTAAACCTTCTCAATTTGTAAAACAGATTTGCCATGCTTTAAATTTTGAAAAGCTGATTTAGTTTAAGGGATTTCAAAAAGTGCTGGATGCCCTGGTTCTATGCTTGCAGTAAAAGCTTATCACTTTTGGTTCAAGTAAGTGTAATTTTTATTATGAAAACGGATCACAGAGTAAATAGTATTTAGTGACAATATTAAGTTTGTGATAGTTACGTCAACAAATTTATTTAATAATTAATGTAAAAAAAAATACAAACTAAAATAAACTTACAATCATCATCTGGGGAGGTGGCGTTGCATGTGTTTTGTGTACTGAAATAGGTAACATCTTGTTTATTCATAAAATGCCATCATTCAACTTTATTCCCAAAATTTAAACTATCAAAATACAGATTTAAAGTAACACAAACAAAAAAGTTAAATGAGAAAAAGTCATTCAAATCTTATCAAAATAATCATTATATCTGATGTTTAGAATAAGGGATATACTAATCACGACACCGGTTGCTTCCAGTCTGTGGTCTCCATTGGACAGTAAATTGTAGAAACCCGCCAATAGTATCATATTTGAGCCGCGTCACGACAAAACCAACATAGTGCGTTTGCGACCAGCATGGATCCAGACCAGCCTGCGCATCCGTGCAGTCTGATCAGGATCCATGCTGTTCGCTATCAGTTTCTCTACTTGTTATACCGTTTGTAAGCAAACAGCATGGATCCTGATCAGACTGCGAGGATGCGCAGGCTGGTCTGAATCCATGCTGGTCGCAAACCCATTATGTTGGTTTTGTCGTGACGCGGCTCATTTATTGGCTCAGTAAGCAATAACCTGGCATGTTTAGCAGTAGTTGTCTAAGTCTCCAAGAAGGGGTTTTAAAAAATGATAGGGAAAGACAAAAATGAAAATATTAAATAAAATCCGTAAGTATACTTACACAACATGGCTTTCTTCTGACGTTTGCTAAAATGAGAAAATATTTAATAATTATACATCAATAAAGATAATATGTCATTCTGTTCTCATAGTTATATACACACATAAAGCAAATATGTTCTATATTCATACCATACTTTTCTGATGAAAGCCATACAGAAATATTATTTCACATTAAACTGCTACATGTAATTATTTATTCATGTTTATAATGACATAACTCATGGTATAATGTTAATTATAGCCAGTATATATAGGTTTTCTATTCCACAAATTATACAAAAGTTTTGACTCCATAGATTAACTTAGTCAAGCAGATGTCAAAATGAAGCACAGCTTAATATTAGCAGATTAATCAAGGTTACATATTAAACTAGTCTTTGAAACAATTCATAAGTTACGTTTTTTTTAACACAGCAAATCAAAGAAAGCTATTAGTTTAGCAGAACAACATAGGGTTTTAATTCAGAAACAAGAAAAAAGGTTTTAAGCTCATTTAATTTTTTAAGTTTCTTATTTAGTACCAGAATTAGAAAATTAAACAAATTTATCAATTCAGCAAATCAATCAAGATTTAAAGCAAAGTATGCAAGCTTTTCAAAACAATATTATAAGACAGGTTCAATATTTTTTAACAAACTATAAGTGATGTTTTTAGTCAAGCAAAATGTGTGAGGTTCTCTACGTTTTTTATTCAGCAATTAATTTTCAATCAAGCTTTGTATGATATTATTGCAAAAGGTATAAACTTAGAGGACTACTTTTCATTTGGGTTTAGTCACACCACAGGACCTTGACATTCCATCAATAATGTCAAGCTCCTGTGGTCACACCAACAGTGTAAAGGCCAAATGGCTACTTTCAAGTTATAATGGTAGAGGAAGACCTAATAGGCACTGCTTTAACCAAACATACTTGATGAAGCTTTCCTCTCATGAAAGAATCCAAAATGCATGTTGGGATTTAAACCTTAAGTATCAAGGGGCAAGCAGAAATGCAGAGTGATAATTGGACTGCTCAACAGAAATTATGCAAGCAGCATAGTAGCACTTTGCAACCATTAAACTTCACTTTGCTACCATTAAACTTCACTTTGCAACCATTAAACTTCACTTTGCAACCGGTATACAACCATGAGGATAACCTGCAAATCTGAACAGCCTAACTCAATACTATGTGTATATGAACTGGTGGCTAAACATTATCATTCTGACATTTAACTTTTTTCTACCAACTTTAATCAATGATTTCAACTTCAAAGCACTAAGCAGCTCACTACACACATTCAAACAGGTAAAAATTTATCATTCATAAAATTTCTATAATTTATAAACACTCCATAAAACTGGAACAAGATAGAAAGATGATGGGGTCATTTTATGCATGTTAATATAAGTCTGAGGTGAATGGGGGGAAAAAAGAGTGAAATCAAACTTTCTAAAGGGAGACTTTTTCATAAATTTTACCTTGTGCTATAAAAGAAAATTATATAAAGAGTCCAGTAAATTTGAAAATAATTAAATTTATCAGTTATCATCTATAATGATCTTATTTGTCAAACCTGGATCTTTGTTTAAGCAGTTTGACTTTTGTCTTTGCATTCATTTTGTTTTGTTGTTGGGTTTAATGTCACACCAACACAGTTTAGGTCATATGGTGACTTTCTAGCTTTACTGATGGAGGAAGACCTCAGGGGTCCGTGACCTGTACATCATTTCAGACACAAACCGGCACCTGAGTAGAACCACCAGTCTCAGTTCTGTAAGGTAAGCTAGCTGGATAGCTTTCTCACATGAAAAATTCGAAGACATTGGCACAGCTTGAACCTACAGCAGGGAGGGGCAAGTGTTTTGAAGTCAATGACCATAACCACTCAGCCATGGACTCCCATCTTTGCATTCCATCTTATCAAGAGATACATTATTTTCAGGTTTTATAAAAGCTTCACAATAGTGTAAGTGTAACTTCTATTGTAATTCAACAATATTTCTGGCAATTTTGCTACAATTTTGCATTAGAAATGTACATCGGTGAAAGTAGTACTAAATTATGTAGTAACTTATTATAACTAAGACGTTACTCTGCTAACGACATGTATGACTAAATTGTTTGATAGAACGTACATGTTGCTTTTCTTAACATTCTTAGGAAAAAACACTTTGGCTAGGATTAATAACACACAGTAACGATTACTGGGGAAAGAAGTTCTCCCCTAAATATATTTTGTTTGTTTGATTGGGTTATAAATTATACTATACTTACGCAGCACGGATGCATAAGAATGCAACGATGCAGAAAATGATGACGAGGAAAATAAGAACAGCAATAATGATAAGTATAATAAGCACTGCCTGATCCTCCAGCTCTATCTCCTGACTGCTACTGGCCGCCTGTAATAATAACATACATTGTATAATGTCAAGGTCAAAAACACAAGTCTTTAAAGGTCAATGTCAGATGTGTGTCACGGTCAATAAAAGATAAGTGTAAAGGTCAATGTAAAAATGTTTCAAGGTCAAGGTAAGATTATCTTCCAAGGTTAAGGTAAGTCTTTTTTTCCAAGGTCAAGGTAAGACTTCTTCCAAAGTCAAGGTAAGACTTTCTTCCAAAAGTAAGGTAAGATTTTCTTCCAAAGTCAAGGTAAGACTTTCTTCAATGGTCAAGGGAAGTCTTTCTTCCAAGGTTGAGGTAAGATATATCGAGGTATCACTGTTTATCAAAAGATGTAAGAAATGTATATCTGTTAATATATTGAAAATGAGTGCATATTTCATAGTGACCTTAATGACTAAGTAAAATAGCCAATTATATTGTTGCATTTATGCAGTAAATTATGCTAAATAGTCCCCTGAATGATAGGTGTATATGAGAGCATGCTAGATGCATTTCAATATGAGAGTATTATATGTATGTTTGTAAATGCATGTTTAAACAATATGTGTATCAGTTAAGGTCAGTATGATTTGTATTAAGCTCATTGTAGCATGCATGATAGTCAATGACAAATACATAATTGAAGAAATAAACATGTACATCATTAAATGGGACTTTCAAATAAGAATAACAAAAACAAAAATCACAAGGGGACACAACAAAATCTTTAAAACTATACATTTGCTAATGATATGTACACAATTAACACTAAATATATTCAAATATAACACAATTCTTTGCTGAGGATACTTACTAAGGACCTGGAAACAAAACATTTAAATTTAAGAAAAGGGAAAACAGAGATACATGAGGAAAACATAAAATAATACATACATGGGAAAACAAAACATAATTGAACATAAGAATCTGGAAAACTAAACTTGTAATGTTACAAGGGAGAGCGAAATAAAACGGGTTTTGGTTTAAGAATTGGAAAAAAAAACATGTTACAATACATGGGAGGTAGATATAATGAAAAAGAGACAAAACATGTTAGGACAGGGAAATATTATATCTAATGATGCAAAGGAATAAATAACCATGTTTACTAAACACAGAAGTGAATATCAATTTAATGCAACTGGTGTAAACATATTAACACAGAATTTCCTAAGCTTTTGTTTCACGTACATATATGACATAATGTTAAATGGTGTCTAAGGACCACAGATCCCCCTTTGTTCATTATTTATTTATAACAAGTAAATAAAAAAAATAAATAAAAGATCAAACAAATTACGGGTTAAGATACAAAATTTGTTTACCTTCTATTGAATATCATACAAAATTAGCAAATTTCAGTTAAAAACAGGTTAATTCAACAAGCCAAGGGGTAAAGGAATATTTTACAAAATAATATGACATATTTTTCTCCTTTGGTAATTGTGAAAGTTAGCAGGTAGGATGTGGGATTGAGGGGTTTCAAAGCCAATGTAGTTAGAACCATTTTGGTATACATTAGAAAATTCATTAGTATCTAATCACCAAGTCTTACCTCATTTTTCTTTTTAGAAAAGTAAAAAAATCTTTAGATTTTGTTCAAAAATGTGACAAATAATAAACCAAGAAAAATATAAATTAAAACATTAAAAATAGTTTGTATACTACCAATTTTTTTCTTGTCATAAACATGTAAATGCAACCACATGTACTGTGGTCTTTTTTATCATCTAGTTTCATTGAAGTCCAATTAATAAGTCCATAATGTAATTGGCTTTTCCACTAACAATTACAGTAAATGAAATCTTTAGTTAAAGTTGAAAATCATTATCCTAAATACATTGTAAAAATATTTTTTTCATATAGATATATTAAGTCATGTTCAAAAACATAAAATAAATGGTTCTTACCTCAACTTCTTTGATATACAGAAGATCAAAGTCAGATTTTCTATCATATCTCTCCCTATTAACAATGTTCTTCATCTCCGTGTTTGACAAGATTATAAATCTGTCATTACCATCTACAACTTCTCTCCTTATACCAGTGATGTAGACATCAGACCTATAGACGAATGGTAAAGTTTTTTTGTGACAGTTTATAATGGCAAAGTATACCAATCAGCCAAATTGATTAATGAAATATGTCATGGAGAGCTGTATTTATCAGTCAAATTGCTGTGACCTATATAACATGGTAAGCTGTTCCTATCACCCAAATTCCTTGTGACATATAAAAAGAAAAGTCAATTCAATAAACCAAATTTCTTTGTTTTGTCTTAGAAAAAAGATGATCAATGTGACTGATAAGCCTAATAGAGTGTCAGATTTAACTGCAGATTCTTGAGCAAGTGATTGCAAAATTGTTTGGCACAACAGTGTATAACATTGTGAAATTCATAGAAAAAGTGATTAGCCTTTAATTACCACTAGTAAAGAGCCAGGACAGCCTACAACTCCTTGCAGTATGACAAGGCTTTATTCTGTTGGTAGCTTTATTTTTCACATTTTGATATTGAAATCTCTCAAATTTCAAATAGACTGTTCCAAAATAAATGGCGGGCTTATCCATTACGCAAATTTAGCAAGTGAAGGGTTAAATTTGAAATAGATAGGGTTAAATATGAAATAGATAAAGTGATAATTAGCAAAAGGTTTGTATTTCTACTCACCATAATGTAGTAACTGAACCAACTGAGTCCACTACATGATCTTGTATGTCATTTATACACACATAAGTCAAATCTGTCGCTTCCTCTAAAATGCTGCAAAAACACAGTATACCAACAATATCAATATAAATAGAATTTTACAACTTTTAAATGATGTAACACTGTCAAGTATAAGCTATACATTGCATTTTCAGCAATCAAATTGATTGAAATTCAGAAGTTTATGCCCTCCCCCTGAATACTATCACAGAGGTCAAAATTTGTGGCACAGTGTCTGTTTCTCAAAGATCAGTTTGACCCTTACATGGGTTTCAAATGACCATGATATTTCATATACATGACCCTATATACGACATTTTATGACCCCATCACAGACTGCTAAGTATCTGGAAGCAGACTTGACAAAAAAAGCTATACTTAAAGTATTCATCAAAATCCATCTACGATAAATATATTTTAATACAAAAATTGTACATTACCCAGCTACTGAGAAATTTAAAAATAGAATCGTACCTCTGAATTTGTGACTGATATAGACGTACTTCACCAGTGTTCTGTGTAATCAACAGTTTCACCTCATTGCCTGGTTGATTTACAAATACCTGAAGAAAATGTATCAAGATAACAATAAAACACATAATTATAAAGCACACACACAAATAAAGGCCAAAAAAATTAAACTGTAGGCGTGTGACACGTATGAATTATATGTAAATAGGTTAAAAGAGTAGAGGTACAGTGAAACTGACTGTAGAAAGGATTTCATGATAAATCACAACAAAAGTGAACTTCGCCTTCCGGGAATCAAACCAGAGGCCCCTGAGTTACAGCCCAATGCTCTACCTATGGTCAGCTTACCGGATGGCTTCAATTTCTATATACTTAAAGTAAGATGAAACTAACCCTTATTGTGCTAACAGTAAGGGAACTTATCCATGTGAAAAATGCTGACCTTTATCAGCTGGCACATCTACCCCATTTGATAAATGTCTGCATAAAAAATGTTTCTTTGTCTGTCACAACTTAGTTTATAATTTTTTCTATGAAAATGATAGATTAGGTTTGCTCAGATTGAAAGATGGACTAATCAATTTTAAGATATTTAAGATATTCAGTGTAATAAGGGTGCAAAATTGTTCAGCAGAAGTTAGAATATCAACTTTCAGTAATTATTCGTATAAAATTTGATATAAAAATACCTTAGCAACAGTGTTTGCTGATTCGGCAGTCTCACTATCTTCTCGATCACGAGCATTTATTGTTATAAAGAATGTAGTATCAGCATAACTCCTCATCAGAACCTTATTTGTTACAACACCAAACTTCGGATGAATGTCAAACAGTGTCTTATTTCTAACTACGTTACCACCGATGACGCTGTATCGTACGACAGGGGTACCAATAGCGTCACGATCAACAGCTTGTACCGTCAGAATGTGCTTGTCATAGGGAGCGCGCGCTGACACACCTGTGAAATTATAAATTGCATTTTAGGTAAACATATTCGAGTCTTTGGACAAATACTTTTTTTTACAAAAGGAATCATTTGATTGATGACTATTACATCAATTACATCAACCAAAGTTAAGCAGCAATCAAATAAAATTATATCTCATCAATTTACAAAGTAAATGGTCACCATCTAGTGGCATAAAATTATCCATTTATTAAAAGAAAACAAAGGAAGTTTATCGAAACCTACATCCATAATATTCATCTTGCAAGAAAGCAGGTGCTAAATCATTGATGTCTCCGATAATAATCTTCAATGTTATAATGCTCAGATCAGCTGCACGACGCCGTCGGTTACGAATGACAGTATAGTCTGCTTCACCGTTGGTCGCTTGAACGTCAATGTAATAGATTCCTTTTGACTCTCGGTCAACTGGTTTGACCAGACTCAACATTCGAGTATTTCTATCAAGTTCGAACACACCGTCTTCATTTCCAGCTGAAAAATGACAAATAAAATCATGAAACTGCACACTGTGAGGTAAGTTTATAAAATAACTGAAATTCAATCGATAATAAGACTAACAGTTACAATACAGAAGTTATACTATTTCATTTCAGTAGAAAGGATGTAAGGAGGAACCTCATGTTTAAACACTAGGTCAGTTTAACTTACTTTATTAAAGATTCTACCAGATTCTACCAGTTTCTAGTAATTCAGTACAAATGTATACTTATAGTAAAAAAGCAAAAGAATTAGATCAAAATGATTCTGGTATATAGTCAAAGAGCATCTTTGCCAGAATTGGTATCTTGACAACTAAAGTAAAAGCTTTTGAGGAAAATAAATTTTTCATAATTTTTGGGCGGGCTATTAAACTTGGCCTTGAAATAAAATTTAACAGAACTGTGTTAATAAGAACTATGGTTGCCATTTGTCTTTATAAAGCCAAATTAAGTACTGTCACATCAAACTCCTCACAGTGATTACCTCCCTTGGCAGATTGTAATCTTTGTACTGATAAGGGGAGATCACTGTGTGGGAGACTAAGGTCACATAGGTAATAAAAGATTAAACCAACTTACAGATTATATCATAATAAATGACTGGATTCAGGTCAAGGTCAGTGGCAGACGGTATCTGTTTGATATCTCCTAAAGGTTCATTCTCAGTGATGTCAATTTGGTACTGAAAATAAAACACGAGACTTAAACTATGTTTACATTTTTTTCTTCGTTTGTCCTGTGTTCATTGAGAGATCGATTTCTTCTTTTCTTCTCAACAGATCAATTAAATTTTCAGGTAAAATCAGATTGTTTGGTAACAAATATTCTTTCTATCATATTTTTTCTTCATATTTTAACATGGAAGCTAACAAAACATATTTCAAATTGTACTACGACAAGGGTAAATTTGAATATTAAACATACAAAATTGTCTTAATTTTAAGTAAAATATATTCAAAAATACTTGTAGGTCAAGTAAGAAAACAGGCTAGCTGGATTCTCAGCTTCCTCACATAAAGAATGCAAAGTCCCGGATGAGATTCAAACCCACACCAGTTAGGGGCAAGTTGTTTGAAGCCAATGACTTTAACCACTTGGCCACGAATGCCCCACCTTATCATTTCAATACTGCTTTTCAAAACATACAATCATCATATTACAATGGAAATACAAAAAAAAAATACATGTAACACCTAATAATATAAGAAATTTTTCCATTAAGAAATAATGATATCTATGGCATTTATTTATCTATCTCAAAACTTACCTCTCTTTCATTAAACACTGGATAATTATCATTGACATCAAGTACAACCACTGTCAGGAAACGAGTTGTTTCCAGTCGAGTTTTACCATTATCTCTAGCCTTCAATAACAGCTGAAATTAAAATAAACATTTTAAATGTTTATAAGTTTTGTTTGTTTGTTTTGGGTTTTACGTCACATCGACACAGTATAGGTCATATCGCGACGTTCCAGCTTTACTGGTGGAGGAAGACCTCAGATGCTCTTCCGTGCATTATTTCAGGCATGAACGGGCACCTGAGTAGAACCACCGACGTTCCGTAAGCTAGCTGGATAGCTTTCTCACATGAAAGTCCCTGTAGGGATTCAAACCCACAGCGGTGAGGGGCAAGTGGTAAATGCTTATAAGAGTGATACCAGTGAATGTAATGATTAATGATTATTATGATTGTTATTTTGTTTCTGAATCATCGAGATCACTGATTCCAGCACATTATGTGTTAAAGATGGAAATTACCGCCTAAGCCGGCACTACTAGGGGGCGTGAGGGGTGTGTCACTTTCAAACTGCCCCCAACAAGGAGATTCAATCAAACACGCTGCTATTTTCATGTAATTATGTTGTTCTCATTGCTTTCAAAGGATCTCTCCCTTTCAAGATTTTTATAAATTATCACTAATAAACTTCATTCTAAATGTAGATACAATTAGTTGTTTCTGTATATAAAATGTATAATACAAAAAAAATTAAATCAGATATCTTAATTATTGTTATGCTAAAATAGTGAAAAAGACTTGTGCTGTTTTACAATTTGGATCTGTAGATTGTTATTTTAAAGGGATATCAATTTCAAATACAAAAATAACAACAAAACAGATGTTCAGACTGGACCTATGATTCAATACTAGTGGCACACGCAAGTGATCACCATGCTGCGAAATTAAGACTTACCACATATTTGTCAACCTTTTCTCTGTCGTATACAATCTCAGCTTGAATAACCCCTGTAACCTTGTTAATTTTAAAATCTGGTGTAGCCTGGGTATCTATTCCGTTGTAAATGAAACTGTAATCTACGAGACCGTTCACTCCGGAATCCTCATCTCGAGCCGACACGTCATATACCAACATTCCGTTGTACTGCTCCTAGATAAATGCCCAGCAAAACTCAAGTTTAGAAGAGATTTAGTGAAAAATTATGAATATTTCTACTCTATAATAAAAAAAACATCAAACCAACTTATACAATATCCCGTGATAAACATAGCAAAGTACAATTTTACAGTTATATCTCAAAAAGTCATTACATAATGTTAATAATTTATACAGCGACGTAAATTTGTCATGAAATTGATTCAAACAGATTCCCACTACAACTGATACCCTTATTCCATTTCTGTGTGTTTTAAACAACAAAACTTTAAGCAGTAATTTATTGATGGAAAAAATATCAATAACGCAGTAATATCATTTCTATTGATTTATACATGTATATAAAAACTGAGAGCATGTTACCTCTAGTACAAATATAGTCATATTGTCAATCGGAGGTATAACCCATATTGGTGGAGCATTGGCAGACGGCATCACTTTCACAATCACAGTCGTGTTTTTAGAACATCCAGATCCAACGTTATCTGTGGCTCGTATAAAGAACCGATATGTTCCTGTATGTCGTACTAAACTTCTTTTCACGTAAACACGTCCAAACTCTCGTCTGACATCGAAGAAATCTGTAACAATTCATAAGGTATGATAAGGAAGATTTTTTTCAGAAAACTTATACAATTCTTTCAAAGTCAGAGAACCAGGTCTATAGCATAAAAAACCCTTTAAAACTTACCAAGTCTTTCTTTCATCAATTATACTTCAGACAAAACCCTCCCACTAGTTCATATACAGATATATACAATGTAAAGCTACAGAAATTTTTTTAAGAAAGACCCTGTTGCCCCCGTGGCACGAATACAGATCTAGAAAGACAGTGTTTGCAAAGACATGTCCAAGGAGCAACTGAATCATGATGATGGATAACAATTTTAAACTGACAAAATAATTACCGTCATAATCTGTGCCGGAACCACTGATTTTACTGTAGTAAGCTATAGCATTTTCTCCAATATCTCGGTCAGTCGAGAATAACTGTAATATATCAGTTCCAACGCCAATAGTTTCGAAGATCGTCACTTGATATTCGTTACTTGAGAATGCCGGGCAGTTGTCATTTACATCAGTTAACACTACTTGCACCTGTGATAAAACATACATTGTACATGTATCTAATTTCTTAACTTTATCGTTATGAATTTTTTCATGATTAAACATCAATCAACATTACACTCAAATTTGTTTCCTGAAAAGCCTAATCTGCATGTTTAAATACCTTTTTGCATGTTTAAATATCTATTTACTCAGGATTTCAGTCACAGGGTAAAAAGATTTGACGGTTTATTTTTCTGGATTCTGCATGATACTGGGTATTTAACTTCACATAATGAAGAATAATTCAAATTGGTATCTTAAAAAAATTGTTCCGAAGTTGATCAGTTTTAAGTCTCACTAGTACAGTAGAGGTCATGTGACAACTTTTTTGGCAATACATAGGCAGAGGCAAGCATCTGGGTTGGATGACAAATCTTTTATAAAAGCTTGTATGGTAGCTTTGATAAAAAAAAGAGGAAAAACTATAAATTTCGCTTTAAGACATTATAAGTTTTTACAACCTTAGCCAATCTTCACAAAAAGACATCTATTAACTATATACAAATAATAAATGGGTTGAGAAATCATCATCATCATATAACATAGCAAAACCATGTATTGACTATTAAAATATCTGCTTCAAAAATCTATTCAATAGAAATTCAGCAAAGCACAAAATTAAATCTTGTATTGCAGTCAAAAGTAAGTCAAAAATCAAGTTTTCATAATTTTCGGTTTAAACATAAGATTTTATACAGAAAATGATTATTGAGTTTTACCGAGGCGGCTCTTCTGTTCTGATTAGAAGCTGGTCCTTTCGGGTTATCAATGGCAAAGACACGTGCATTAAGACGTGCATTCTTCTCTCTGTCCAACACTGCACCATTACGTAGACGTACAAATATTGTTCCCTAAATATATAAATATAATCTCTTAGTTTCTCCTTTCAGTTAATTAATTTCGTTCAATATAATTCTATTATTATATAAATGACACAAGAACAGCATATACAATACACTAAAAGTTAGACCAAAAGTCATACATTTTACCAACAATATTCAGGACTTTCCTCTGAAAACATAAAACAAAGGAAGAAAAGAACATAAATTGCCTTATTATGGAACAGTAACAAAATTTTATTTCTTTATAAATTAAATATACAACTTGCTTTTTCTATTTTCACTATATATTCACTTCATTAAACCTTATAAATGCTAAATTAACCAAGAAACTTTCCCACTTTAAATCTGGAACAGTCCATAGAAAACTTAACCCTTAACCTCCTGGTGGCAACTTATTTCTACCCATGCAAACAGTGCAGACAATTTTTTGAAATTTTTTCTCTAAAAATGGTAAATGGTTTTGTCCATATTGGAAAATTGGCGCATCCATTTAAGAAACAGTATAGCCCTCTGTAGAAACACTCTCTGTAGAGCAATAACTCTTTACAACAACAATAATATTTCTTTTAAAAGAAAAGATTTCCACTATATTTTACCTTTCTAAGGAACAAACAAAATATTTGTGTCCCAAAGGGTGTTAACTCTGCAGAGGATATACTATATTTAGCACAGTAAGAATTAAAATATTTAACAAGTTGTTTTATACTTACATTCATTGGATCTACATCAAATCTGTCATCGTCCATAAAGTACCGAACCTGGTCGTAAGTGTTGTTATCCGGGTAGTCCTTATCAAAGGCATAAGCGGTAGCAATAAATGTACCATCAGGTGAATTCTCCGGTATTCTAGCTGTGTAAATGTTCTGTTTTGTAAAAAAAAAAAATAATCTAGGTTTACAAAAAATAATGGTTTAATGCAAAAGGAAACAAATATATAATCATTTTTTGTGTTTAATTTAAGTTACTACTCAAAACTTTAAATCTGTCCAAAATTTCAAGTATGCTCTGAAGTACCCTTTAGAACTGTTATTCTTAAGTATATACTAAATAATCATATCTCTGTCAAATATAATATTATAATAATGAAACAAACTTTCAAAATCTGACCATCTACTAAAAGTTTGTCACAGAAACTAAAGATATAAACAGCTTATATAACAAGCTTTCTAACATACCTTCTTGGTTCCACGGATCTACAGAAAAAAAGAAAAGGAGGAATTGATGAATATGATCACAAATAACATGAACTTCGCTTCAAAATTTCACACCTATAACATTTTCACATAGGTTACACACTTTTCACATAGGTAACACACTTTTCACATACGTAACACACTTTTCACATAAGTAGCACACTTTTCACATATGTAACACACTTTCACATATGTAACACACTTTTCACATATGTAACACACTTTTCACATATGTAACACACTTTTCACATATGTAGCACACTTTCACATATGTAACACACTTTTCACATAGGTAACACACTTTTCACATAGGTAACACACTTTTCACATATGTAACACACTTTTCACATAAGTAGCACACTTTCACACCTATCATACCTTACACACCTATTGCAACTTTCAATGTACAATCAAGATCAAATATACACAACTCCAAGGGACAAAATATCCTGTACTTTTTATTAAAGATCCAATCAACTGTCGAAGAATAAATGATTTTTATGATTTTTATTTTTAAGTATGACAGAATTCAGTAATCTTAATCCCTAATAATTTACCCTGTTTATAATAAAATAAGAGAAATTTCTGCATATACAATGACTTGTACATGTATCTCCATACACATTGTATCAAAACGCAATTTCATTTAATTTTATGAAATAATCATCATTAAGAGAAATGAGAAATTGATGTTAAAGCTGAGCTCTTCTCTTACCGGATCAATGAATTCTGGGAAATTGTCGTTGATATTCATAAAGATGACACTGACCGAAGCTGTTGCACTCAACTCAGGGTCTCCGAGATCAATGGCCATGGCTTTGAAATAGGTATTGAACACCTGGCGGGCATCATCATAATCGATCCTATTCAATATACTTACTGACCCTAAAATAAATGAGAAATTTTTTATATAAGCATTTTTGTTTTATATCTGCTATATTTATTGCATGTAATATGACAATCATATGTGTTGTTACATACGTATATATATATGAGTGATCCTGAATGAAGTTGCTATGGTATGACATAATGTTACATTTAAATAATAAAGATAAAATAACAGAAAGATTTATGATAAAATAATCAGTGTGACAGCACCTATCTATTACATGTACTTTAATTTTTATCTCATGGACTCTATTAAAATGTTTTCCACTCCATGCTTCCTTAAGTTTAGAGTCTAGAAAATTTTTATAGCAATTAAGTCTTGGATTACTAATCCAATGCTCTCCCTCTTGAGCTATAAGCAGGTTAACTAAAAATCAAAGAATAGCCTTACCCGTGTTAGGGTTAATTGCAACAAAGTTGTCATCGGGCTGCTCAAAAATAGTATACATCCTTATTCCATTGTCATCTTGAGCAATGAAACTCAATATCACGCTTCCAATAGGTTGTTCCTCATTAATATAAATTGGAGTCTCGTATGGGTCAAACCGCGGCGGAACTTTATTGAAAGGTAATACATAAATGACGATTCTTCCTGGCCCGACCTGATATGGAGTAGGTGTGATGTCACGAACCTCTACCCCGTAAGAAACAATAGCTGTTAGTACGCTGCTGAGTTCCTTGTTTACATATATGTCACCAGTTTCATATTCAATTGTAAAGAGATCCTGTAAGTAAAAATATAAAACATACATTACTTCTAGATATATTAGTTACATTGACACTAAAGAGGTCATATGGCAGCATTCCAGAGTGTCATATGGCAAAATTCCTAAGTTACATGTGTGGGGTGGGGGGGGGGGGGAATATAGGTGCCTCTCCATGCATCAGTTTATCTAAACCTGTCAGAGAAGAACAGACATTTTGGTTTCCAACAATAGAGCAAAGTTAATTAACTGCTGAAACCTTAAAACCTTATTTCAAGCAATTGGAACTCTTTCACTTCCTGGAGTACTTACTCACATGAAAAAGTCCTGCAAAGCCCATGTGAGGGGCAAATGATCTGAAGTGAGCACCCTGAACCATTTGGTCAGAAATAATGACCTTGGTATCAGAGGAATTCCAAACCTGCACCCTGCACATCCTCTTACGATTAATTTATAACATTTCCGCCAAATAATTCCAATTTCCTTCTCTCTATTTTAAAGATACAGACCAGACACAATTGCTAACAGATAACCAGTTGAATAACAAATAACAAATTATATGCCAAAATTATTACCAGCTTATAAAATAAATAATAAATGTACAAACCCTAAAATCAACAATATTAGGATCCACAACATTGCCTTCATTTGAACTGGCTTCTTTCGGCTCAGTAAATACGTATCTCAGTAATGCATCTAAATCAGGATCATACGCTTTTATGCTTCCAACTTTAAAACCTGGCAGAGCATCTGTGTGGAAAGAAAAGATGATAAAATGACATTAGTTAGAGAGGTATTATGCCCATCCAAGTGTAAATTTGTCAGTGAACAGGTAAAATAAAAAAAAACTTGACATTTTGCCAAAATTGTTTTCAACCTTTATAAAAAAATTTCTATGAACAAAAAAAATCCACCTGAGCTGATGAAAATTTCTTTGAATATTGTTCTGAATATACAGAATGTATCGGTTTTGCTAATTAAGTAATGTGGGGCAGTCTTTTCATAACGTATGCAGTTTTTGTATTTGTACCATAAACATTTTCCACAGTCAATTATTACTCAATCACCATTTTAATAGACAATCGTTTCCAATATTAATTCAACTAAATTCATTTTCTAAGTGCTGAAGAGGGCAATAACTTGGTAGATATGGAAGCCATAGTTATGTAACTTGACCAGATCATGTACTTTGTATTGATTAGTAAGTGTTTCAACTAAGAAGCCATTGGTACAGGTAGAACTTAAGAAATATCCAACTTGCCGTTCTAGGTTAACCTCGTACGGACAGACGGACGGACGGTTCAATTACTATATGCCCGGGGGCATAAAAATGAATAAGTTTAATGTATGGGAAGTTTCCCTATTACTGAATAAGTAAAGTTAGTCCATTCTTCACAAAAAAAAGTCCCAATTTTTTTACTGACCCTATTACATTCATATTGTGACCACCTATAGTGTGTAGAACTTTTAACATATCTGTGTAGAATTTTTAACATAAATATCTATTTGTGTTAAGTAAAAACATGTTTATCATATATTTACAAAGAGACTGAGTAGCAATTATCCAAACTTTCAATATCAAATTTGAGCAGAGTATAACTTTAAGAACAAGAGGGCCATGATGGCCCAAAGTCGCTCACCTGTATATAGGCCCCCGGAGCGGGGCCAGTTTAAACCCCAGGGCTTTTATTTGAACAAACTTGGTTGACACCTATTAGAAGATGTTTCATGCTAAACATCTAAGGTCTAGGCTTATGGGTGTTTTTAAAAGAAAGATTTTTTATGTATATATATATATATATATATATATATATATATATATATATATATATATATATATATATATATGTATATGTATATGTATATACATATGTAATTTATATATATATATTATATATATACAATATACATACATACATATATATATATATATATATATATATATATATATATATATATATATATATATATATATATATATATATATGTATTGCATTTTTTGGGTGTGTGGTGTATATATGAAACTATGTATGTATCTATATTGTATATATATATCTTATATATATGTAAATATATATGTACGTATGTATGTATATATTATATATATATATATATACAAAACACATTCCTCCATTTACGGGGGCATCGGTCTATTGAGACCATACTTGTGGGGTGTATATTTAATTGTGGGGCATACATAAGGCCTCGCAACTCTGGCATGTTTAAAACGATGTATGGGGCGTAGGCTACCCTTCTAAATATTGCCCGTAGGCCGGTTTTAGTAGTAAATGATTATATGTCCCACAAATGTATATTTTTAATGGGGTTTTCTGTTATGGTCACATATGTTTTCAGCCTATGGTAAAATCAAATATATAGTTTTATATATAAACTAAGTACCCTTAGTCTTGTTGTATGGAAATGTTCATTATAGGCCTATATAGTGGCGTATATTAAAAACTGACTGCATGAAATAATGCCACTCAACTCGGGTCTTATATATGGGCCCCGTAAGTGAAGATATGTGTGAATATATATATTTAAATATGTATGTATATTATAATATATATATATAATATATACAAACACATTCCTCCATTTACGGACGGCATCGGTCTATTTGAGACCATACTTGTGGGGTGTATATTTAAAGTGGGGCATATATAAGGCCTCGCAACTCTGGCATGTTTAAAACGATGTATGGGGGCGTAGGCTACCCTTCTAACATAGTGCCGTAGGCCGGGTTTTAGTTAGTAAATGATATATGTCCCACAAATGTAATATATTTATTATGGGTTTTTATGTTATTAGTCAAATTGTTTTCACCTATGGTAAAATCAAAATAATAATAGTTTATATATATAAATTAGTACCCCTTAGTTCTGTTGAATGGAAATGTTCATTATAGGCCTATATAGTGGCATATATAAAAACTGACTGCATGAAATAATGCCACTCAACTCGGTCTTATATATGGGCCCCGTAAGTGAGGATATGTGTGAATATATATATATATAATATGTATATATCTAAAAAAAAAAAGTCGCACTAATGAATGACCCCCGGGGCGGGGCCAATTTTTGACCCAGGGCTCTTATTTGAACGAACATGGTAGAATCCATTTGAACATGTTTCGTGCTAAATATCTTAGCTCTAGCTCTTTTGCATTCTTTAAAAGAAAATTTTTTAAGTTTTTACTATATGCATATAGGGAAAAAATCAATGACCCCTGGGGCGGGGCCAATTTTGACCCAGGGCTTTTATTTGAAACAAACTTGGTAGACACCCATTAGAAGATGTTTCATGCTAAATATCTTAGCTCTAGCTCTTTGGGTTCTTTAAAAGAGAGATGTTTTAAGTTTTTACTATATACATATAGGGAAAAAACAATGACCCCCAGGGCGGGCGCCGATTTTAATTCTCCAGGAACAAAATTTGAAACAAATTTAGGTTTTGGACCTATAGATGATACCATAGACCAAATATCAAAGCTCTAAGCCATTTACTTTCAGACCAGAAGATTTTTCAAGTTTTCACTATATGTATATAATGAAAATCAATGACCTCCGAGGGGCGGGGCCAATTTTGACCCCAAGGGCCATTATTTGAACAATCTTGGTAAAGGTTCTACCACAACAATGTTTCATGCCAAATATCTTACCTGTAGCCTTTGCCAATTCAGAGAAAAAGATTTTTTATGTTTTACTATATACATATTAGAAAAACCTATGACCCCCGGGGCGGGGCCAATTTTGACACTAGGGACAAAATTTGTACAACTTTGGTATTGAACCTTCAGATGATACCAAGACCAAATATCAAAGCTCTAGGCCATTTACTTTCAGACCAGAAGATTTTTCAAGTTTTCACTATATGTATGTAATGAAAATCAATGACCCCCGGGGCGGGGCCAATTTTGACCCTAGGGCCATTATTGAACAATCTTGATAGAGGTCTACTACACAATGTTTTCATGCCAAATATCAAATCTGTAGCCTTTGCCAATTCAGAGATGAAGATTTTTTTAGATTTTACTATATACATATAAGGAAAAACCTATGAACCCCCCGGGGCGGGGCCAATTTTGACACTAGGGACAAAATTTGAACAACTTTGGTAGAGGACCCATAGATTGATACCATATACCAAAAATCAAAGCTCTAGGCCCATTTAGTTTTCAGACCAGAAGATTTTTCAAGTTTCACTATATGTATTGTAATGAAAATCAATGACGCCCCCAGGGCGGGGCCAATTTTGACCCTAGGGCCATTATTTGAACAATCTTGATAGAGGTCTACTACACAATGTTTCATGCCAAAATATCTAATCCGGTAGCCCTTTGCCAAATCAGAGAAGAAGATTTTTTTAGATTTACCTATAGACATATTAAGGAAAAAACCTATGACCCCGGGGCGAGGCCAATTTTGACACTAGGGACAAAATTTGAACAACTTTGGGTAGAGGACCCATAGATGATACCATATACCAAAAAATCAAAAGCTCTGGCCCATGTACTTTCAGACAAGAAGATTTTTTAATTTTGTGTTTTTTGAAATCCTTTTCTGGCCCTGTGACCTACATATGCAACAGACCGGAACCATTTGAACAACTTTGAAAGGGGACCACCCAAGGATCATTTCTGTAAAGTTTGGTTGATGTGCAGTCATTGTTTCAGAGGAGATGTTGTTTATGTGAAAAGTTGACGACGCACGACGACGGACGACGGACACAGGGCGATCACAATAGCTCACCCTGAGCATTGCTCAGGTGAGCTAAAAATCAAGCTTGCATAAAAAGGTTTACCTTCACTGTATGGGCATAGAGACAGACAGACAGCAAGTTCAATTACTTTAAAAGGCAAACTAAACAATCATCAGGCATATAAAATTTAATGCTGAAAATTTCCAAGAACTTACCATCATAGACTGTAAACTCTTGTAAGAATGGGTCAATATATGGATCTTTATTATTGTTGTCTAGAATATTGATAACGATAGTGGCATTTCCAGTTAGACGATTAGTACCTTTGTCATTTACAACAGCCTGAAATTAAAGAACACAATGTATGCACTGATAATTCAGATTAAAACATACTTAAAGGCACATTTTGTCTCAGAAACAAATCAATTTTTAATTCATTAAAATTTCATTGAATTTCAGCCCGTTTTGTTGTTTCAGTGATATACCAGCATGCACAGTACTAGGAACCAACTTATATAACATGACGTCGTAAATGATGTCATGTTGTATTATTATTTGACGCGCTTTTCATTTAGTATTAGATTATGTCTTTTCAAACCTTTCTATGTATATAATAAAAAGAAAATTTGTGAAGTAATTTAGTGTAAGATCTAAATTTATATCACCTCGTGAACACCAAAAGTTCATACTTCACTTGTGGCTGTGCCACTCGTGAAATATACCTTTTGGTGCTCACTCGGTGAAATATATTCTGATCTTATACTGAACTAAACAGATATCCTCTATGTATCTATATATTTATGGCCAAAAGCAACAGATAAAAAATATGGTTACAGTAGTTTGCCGATAAGAAACTTGTTGGATACTATGAAAGTACAACAAAATGAAAAAGCCTTTGAGAAGTAAAAATAAAAACTTTTCTGAGGCATAATGGGCCTTTATGAGAAATTATGTTTACATAATAAATACATTAAACTTATTTACAATATTATCTTTAGAACTATTGCTGATTACAAATTGATATCAACGTTTGCTTAAATACAGTTGTTTGCTTGGAAATTTCGTTAAGGGAAAACCTTTTTGGATAACAATTTTTAGGAAAAGTTATACAAGAAAATAACTCTTTATAAATATAAATGCTTTTAAAACATAGATTTATGAATATTGTTATTCATGATGTTACAGATAAGAAACAATTATATGAAGTTTGGTAAAAATTTTAATAATTCAAATAATAATCTAAATTCTAATAACAAAATTTTCCGTTCAAAGAGGAGATAATTCCTAAAATATAGTTTTAGAAGTATAAACCTTATAACAAATACAGGTGATGGCTGTGAAAATATATTTGAAGTTTTAAGAAATTAAAAACAAAAAAAAGAGTAAAATATAACAATTTTCAAAGAAAACTCAAAATTGAGTTTTATTAAAGGGGTGATAGTTCTAGAATGGATGCTAGAGATATGAACCTTGTAAGTGATGGATCATAATTATTTTTGAAGATCCATTCAATCCTTTAAGAATATAATAAAGTAATATATAACAATTTCAGTGGAAATTCGCAATCAGTTTAAAAAGAGATAATTCTGGAAATAGCAAAAAATAATTTTAAACCACAAAATCTTTAAACCAGAATATAAATGCAGATTCTAACACCTGGATGAACAGCATAGCTTTTCCTATACTTGATATAGTTGAGCAACAGCTAGACTTACCTGCATTTGATATCTGTTGATGACATCATAGTCAAACACGGCACCTTCCGTTACAAATACCTCTCCTGTTATTCTATTCACCCCAAACTTCCCACCTAAATTTCCTGTGGTTATAGTGTACTCTAATTTGCCATTATCAGATGTTGGGTCATCAGCATCCACAGCGGTCAACTGTAGAAGAGATGTACCTAAAATAATAAAAGCAAGATAAAAATTAATGATTGAGTATGAAGGAGTATGAAAAGTTTGCTGAATAATAAATAAATAAGACTATAAGGAAAGTGCTGAAATAATGTAAACAAGGCTTTCCATGAAATTATGATATTCAATAAAATTGCTGAATTTTTGTAAAACTAGACTATCCATGAAATTATGATTTCCAAGAAAATTGCTGAAATAATGTTAACAATCGTGACTTTCCATGAAATTATGATTTACAAGAAAATTGCTGAAATAATGAAAATAATGTAAACAAGACTATCCATGAAATTGTGATTTACAAGAAAATTGCTGAAATAATGTAAAACTAGATTATCCATGAAATTATGATTTACAAGAAAATTGCTGAAATAATGTTAACAAGACTTTCCATGAAATTATGATTTACAAGAAAATTGCTGAAATAATGTTAACAAGACTTTCCATGAAATTATGATTTACAAGAAAATTGCTGAAATAATGTAAATAATGTAAACAAGACTATCCATGAAATTATAAAGAAAATTGCTGAATTCATTTAAAACAAGACTCAGACTACCTATGAAATTATGATTTACCAGAAAACTGTTAAAGTAATATAAAATAAGACTATCTATGAAGTCATGATTTACAAGGAATGAAACAATATAAGCAGGGCCAAATTAATTGAACCATTAGTAATAACTAGATGCCAAATGAGATGGTAATATGTTAGCTAAGTATGCTGATATAGAAAGACAAAGGAATACAATTCAATTCAATACAAAAAGTTCCTTTCCTATCTCATCGTGTCTCACATTTTTGCTCATGAATTTCAAAAAGATTTAACTCACTACAGTGTTGGAGCAGTACCTCTAGACGCTTGCAGAAATCATGATCACAAAGCAGAAAATATAAAGCGTTATTGGCCGATTCTTACAGATTTCATTCATTTTTTCGTATATAAATCAGTGTGAAAAGATGAATTAGAAGTTCTAAAGTGCACTTGGGTGCGTGAAAAGGTGTGATTTTAGAATTTTAATTTATTCATTCAAGTGCCTTGTCCGGTATATACCAGAATACGGAATTTAATGTGGTGCTCCAACACGTTTTTTGCTCTCACTCATTTCAAAATCCCCCATCATAATAGCAGAATTACTGTACAGATACAGACCAAAATGGGTTGACCTTTTAGATGTGGCATTGACCTTGAAGCAATGATTCCCTTGAGCTATAGCAGGGCAAACAGTCTTACTGATGTTATTATTTGTACCAAATTATTTGAGAAACCCTTTAACCAGAGTAATGTCAGTCCAGACAAACAAATAAGCACTTATTTCAGACCTTTTACCACTAACACTAAGTATGACTTTGACCTTTGACATACAATTCCTGTTCTTGTATGTCACACACTGTAGACTAAATATAAGGTTGAAATTTGTGCCACAAGTTACTACGAAATTGGAGTCCAGACAAAAAAAGTGACAAACATGCACTTAAGCACTCAAATACATGTACATCTATCAACCATTGTGAGAACTATGCCAAATCTAACTACAGGTTCCACATAAAAGTATTGATACAATAAAATAAACCCTATTCTTCCTGGTGAGAAAATATTCTAATAATAAAATTTTACCTGGTGGAGTTGTTTCATTTATGCTGATCTCATAGTAACTTGGAATGAAATTTGGTGCATTGTCATTTATATCCTGAAAAAAAAAGTATAATAATAATAATAATAATAATAATGGTGGTAATGATAATAATAACAAGATATGTTTGTAAAACATGTATGCCCCCTATCAGCAGCCAATTAGTCATGTGATAAGGTTATTATGCATGACTTCTGACCCAGTGATCAAACAATTAATAAGGGTTATAAAGTATCTACTGGTCATGACCATGACCTTTGACCCCTTGACCCAAAACTCAATAGGGGTCATCTGCTGGTCACGACCAATCATCATACAAAGTTTGAAGTTCCTAGGCCTAGGCGTTTTTAGTAAATTGATCAGAAACCGTTTTTACCTACAAGGTCAATGTGACCTTGACCTTTGACCCCTTGACCCCAAAATCAATAGGGGTCATCTGCTGGTCATGACCAATCACCATGCCAAGTTTGAAGTTCTTAGGCCTAAGGGTTCTCTTATTATTGATCGGAAACCGTTTTAACATACAAGGTCAATGTGACCTTGACCTTTGACCCCAAAATCAATAGGGGTCATCTGCTGGTCATGACCAATCACCATGCCAAGTTTGAAGTTTCTAGGCCGAAGCGTTCTTTAGTTTATTGATCAGAAACCGTTTTTACTTACAAGGTCATTGTGACCTTGACCTTTGACCCCTTGATCCCAAAATCAATAGGAGTAATCTGCTGGTCATGACAAATCACCATACCAAGTTTGAAGTTCCTAGGCCTAAGCGTTCTTGAGTTATTGATCAGAAACCGTTTTTACTTAAAAGGTCAATGTGACCTTGACCTTTGACCCCTTCACCTAAAACTCAATAGGGGTCATCTGCTGGTCATGACCAATCATCACACAAAGTTTGAAGTTCCTAGGCCTAAGCGTTTTTTGTTAATTGATCGGAAACCGTTTTTTACCTACAAGGTCAATGTGACCTTGACCTTTGACCCCTGGACCCCAAAATCAATAGGTCATCTGCTGGTCATGACCAATCACCATACCAAGTTTTGAAGTTCCTAGCAATAAGGGTTCTTAAGTTATTGATCGGAAAGCATTTTTACCTACAAGGTCAATGTGACCTTGCCCTTTAACCCCTTAACCCCAAAATCAATAGGGGTCATCTGCTGGTCATGACCAATCACCATACCAAGTTTGAAGTTCCTAGGCCTAAGGGTTCTTTAGTTATTGATCGGAAACCGTTTTTACCTAAGAGGTCAATGTGACCTTGACCTTTGACCCCTAGACCCCAAAATCAATAGGGGTCATCTACTGATCATGACCAATCACCATCTCAAGTTTGAAGTCCCTAGGCCTAAGGGTTCTTTCATTATTGATCGGAAACCGCTTTACCTACAAGGTCAATGTGACCTTGACCTTTGACCCCTTAACGCCAAAATCAATAGGGGTCATCTGATTGGTCATAACCAATCACCATACCAAGTTTGAAGTTCCTAGGCCTAAGGGTTCTTTTGTTATTGATCAGAAACCGTTTTTAATTAAAAGGTCAATGTGACCTTGACCTTTGACCCCTTGACCCCAAAATCTATATGGGTCATCTACTGATCATGACCAATCACCATACCAAGTTTGAAGTTCCTAGGCCTTAAGGTTCTTTAGTTATTGATCGGAAACCGTTTTTACCTACAAGGTCAATGTGACCTTGACCTTTGACCCCTTGACCCCAAAATCAATAGGGGTCATCTACTGATCATGACCAATCACCATACCAAGTTTGATGTTCCTAAGCCTTAAGGTTCTTTAGGTATTGATCGGAAACCGTTTTTACCTACAAGGTCAATGTGACCTTGACCTTTGACCCCTTGACCCCAAAATCAATAGGGGTCATCTACTGGTCATGACCAATCACCATACCAAGTTTGAAGTTCCTAGGCCTTAAGGTTCTTTAGTTATTGATCGGAAACCGTTTTTGCTTTCAAGGTCAATGTGACCTTGACCTTTGACCCCTTGACCCCAAAATCAATAGGGGTCATCTACTGGTCATGACCAATCACCATACCAAGTTTGAAGTTCCTAGGCCTTAAGGTTCTTTAGTTATTGATCGGAAACCATTTTTGCTTACAAGGTCAATGTGACCTTGACCTTTGACCCCTTGACCCCAAAATCAATAGGGGTCATCTACTGGTCATGACCAATCACCATACCAAGTTTGAAGTTCCTAGGCCTTAAGGTTCTTTAGTTATTGATCGGAAACCATTTTTGCTTACAAGGTCAATGTGACCTTGACCTTTGACCCCTTGACCCCAAAATCAATAGGGGTCATCTACTGGTCATGACCAATCACCATACCAAGTTTGAAGTTCCTAGGCCTTAAGGTTCTTTAGTTATTGATCGGAAACCGTTTTTGCTTACAAGGTCAATGTGACCTTGACCTTTGACCCCTTGACCCCAAAATCAATAGGGGTCATCTACTGGTCATGACCAATCACCATACCAAGTTTGAAGTTCCTAGGCCTAAGGGTTCTTTAGTTATTGATCGGAAACCGTTTTTGCTTTCAAGGTCAATGTGACCTTGACCTTTGACCCCTTGACCCCAAAATCAATAGGGGTCATCTACTGGTCATGACCAATCACCATACCAAGTTTGAAGTTCCTAGGCCTAAGGGTTCTTTAGTTATCACTCGGAAACCATTTGGTCTACGGACCGACGGACCGACGGACCGACAAGTGCAAAGCAATATACCCCCTTTTTTTCAAAATGGGGGCATAATAATAATAATTAATAATTAATAATAATGATAATAATAATAAAAGATAATTAATTACAGAACTTACATAAAAATTTGAGTAGTTATAATGATAAGAATTTTGTGTAACATTTTTAACCCTTTCGCTGCCAGAGGGTTATTGTTTTATTGATCACCTATTTGCCAGAGGATTTTCTAAGAAATTACTATATTATTAATTAATATAATTATTCGTTATAAGTATTATAATAATTATATATGTTTCCAAATCTGTTAGTATAATGATAATTATTGTTGATGGTATAATTTTCTTTATATTTATTATTATTATTATTATTGATTTATTATTATTATCATTATTATTATAGAAACGGCTAAAGCCGTCCATACGGCAAATATGCTGAAAATAACAGGGACGGCTTAAGCCGTCCCTATGGCAGTGAAAGGGTTAAAGCAGCATGGCTCCAGATGAGTAAACAAGTTTCAAGAAAATCACCCTTAAAAATATGGTTCTTACTAGCCAGAATTGATTAAAAAGCACTTAATTAAACACTTTTTTAACAATTTTGCATACCGGTAATTAAATAATCTTCAGTTTAGTTCTTTTAAAGGAAGGTGTTCTTTAGTTTTGTTTGTATGTTTGAATTTTGGCAACATTCCAGCTTTACCGGTGGAGGAAGACCTCAGGTGCCCTTCTGTGCATTATTTCAGGCACAAACAGGCACCTGAGTGGAAGGTGTTCTTAATATAAGAGACATAAAACTTGAATGTAGTTGACTTACCCTCACAGAAATAGACACTTTGGAATTAGCAGTGTATTTACCATCTGTAACTGTTACTAGAACTTCAAATCTGCAAGCATTACACATTAAGACAAATTAATCACTCTGTTAGAGAAATAATGATTTCATAGCATTTTTAAAGGGTGTATTAATGGGTAAAAATTACATAAATGTAAAATGAAATTTGACAATATTTTCAACATTGCTTCAACAGCAGATTTTCTATATACCAATAAAATATACTGGTAAATACAGAAAATGATATCTAAGCCATAAGCAATTAATGATTGTATTATGTTTACATATTAACTGCTATAAAAAAATAAATGTACAAGTTTCTTTTGTGAGTAATATATATGTATGAAAATAATTATTGTGTACTGCATTTTGGTGAATCAAAAGGTAATGTTGTATGTTGAGCATAATGTAGGCATAATAAAATGATTCCACTTGTTTGTTTTGTAGACATAATACTATTTAAATGATTCCATAAAGATAACTCTCATCTCTTATGTGAAGGCATAATACTATGAAAAGGATTCCATAAAGATACTTTTTGTTTGCATAAATTTAAGTGCATAATTATGTGCAAACTTTTGATTGCATTTGAACATGCTTTAGTACACTTGTACATGTTTTGGTAAATTTTAAAATTTTTGTGCCTTTGGTGCATGTACATGATAATGTATGGTGTCTAAAACATGCTTTTATGAATTATAATTCGGAAATTTTTCTTTCAAGGAATGTTTGTATGTTTTAACTTATTTTAATAGCATTTAAACATGTTCTGTATGCATGAATAGGCTTCGATGCAATTTAACAAGTTTTTATGTATAATTCTATTACTTTTGTATTTTGACATTAATTTTGTATATTTGAAAATACTTTTTATGATCTAAACATAGAAGTTTTCCTCATATGACCATACATTTTGTACAGTTTAAAATTGTTTCAGTACATTTAAGTGTGTTTTTATATGTTTGAAGGAGATCTAGGCATTATAGTTAATTATTTTGTGCCCCTAAACATGTTTCTAAAAATAAACATGTTTACATACAGTCCGATTAAAAATAGGGTGCATATGAGTAATATTATGTGTAACTTTCTAAAAAACTCTCTTTACAAGTGTGACTTACCCTCATCCAAAATTATAAATTATCAACCTTTTTTTTTTTATCTAAACAAACATCTGATTGGTTGATTTATTTAGCATTTGGAACTGTATTGATGTTTTGTAATCAAATATTAAAAATTTACCCTGCAGTGACAAACACTGAGAAAAGGAGTTCATAACAAAAAGTAAAGTTATGTAATCCCTGAAAAGTTTGTTGTTAACGTGAACAGGAAAACATTAGTATTATACAGATCCAATAAGACTGAACTCAGCCAAAAGACTTCCTTTTGCAATCAAGAGGGGTTAATAAACCAACAGGCAGGAGGGGAATATATTAAAGTAGCAAGCAATAAGGGGCAAATACTAAAGTAAGGGCAAATACTAAAGTAAAGTATTGCCTTCTGAAAATAGCTTAGGACAGAAATATTTAAGTATTATATATATAATGATAAATCTGATTATAATTATAACATAATTTATATCCGTTCTCATGCATATAATTGTCATCTCTGAATACAGCATGTAACACGCCACAAAAAACAAGTGCGCTACAATCAAACACAATAAAGTGTAACCTGAAAATCAAATGGTTCACAAGAAAATCTCCAATTATGATGCATAGTATTTTTAGATTTTTTAATTTTTCAAATATAACATTCTAAAGATTTAACCCTTACCAAACTATTAATTTCTTAAAGGGACTTGTCCATCTTTTGATCTGGACAAAATTGTTTATTATTTATCGGGAAAATTTTAAAGTAATTAATGACTGAATAGCCAACAGTGCAGACCATAATGAGCCGGCACAGATGTGCCAGGTGAGATCTTGGTCTGCACTTGTCACATGGATAGATATCCGTTGCACAATCAGCAAGTTAAGGGTTAAACAGTTGCCTAAAGTAGTACTTCTAGCTAAATGAATCAAATTACAAATTAACATGATTTATTTACAAAATGCATTTTTCTGTTTGTATACAGTTTTCATACACTGCATCAGAATTGGAGATTCAAAAACTATTTATAGCCACACACTATTTATAGAAGTGTTCTAGTCAAAGTGTTCTTAAGTCACACACTATTTACAGAAGTGTTTTTGCCACACACACTATCTAAAGTGTTCTACACAATCATTCTAACAAAATAAACAAGTAACTTTTTTCTTAAATGTGTGACAACCGTGCTATACACCTTTTCCACCATAAACTCTGAACACCAAATAAAATGACTCCCCCTACATATAACATGACTATGAATGAACAATCAACATGATAAATTATTAGAGTTGATGTATTTATATGATATTCTTAGGCTTAATGAGGGTCCATCCACCCTTTGCGGCACTGAGAGTACGGACCAGTCCTGACATGTCACCATTCATGTCCTAAGAGGTTGTTTTTTGCCAAAATCTATTACAGTTGACCAAAGTTAATAAGACAAATGATGTACTTTTCAGCATTTTCAGCAACAGAATACTTTCTTTGTAAGTAACTTTTGTCTCTCCCAATCATCAAAATGTATGAATTAAAGAAAAAATGTAAATTACTAATTCAAAGAAATTTACCACAGATATTTATATTATAATGATAGATACAGATTTATATATCTAAATATATAAACATGTATATACTCAAAATTATGTCATTAATAAAAACGCTTCTTCACAACACAATATACACTAACAAATAATTAACTACACACAAACACGCCAATCAAATCTACATGCATATGCACAATGTCAACACACAATGAATACAACAAATATACAAACACATAATAAATTATGTCTATAAAGACAAACCAAATGTAACATTGTATATATTAGATATGACTTTACACTGAGCAACAAAATGCTTTATTCAACAGTCTGATAACAGTCATTTACACCCAATCTGATTAATTTAATTCTTTCAGAGGACTGACATTGTATAGCTCAAATTAAATAATACATATTGATGAATTAAGATTTTTAATTCAGACAGGCTGGGCATTATACAGTTTCATCTTCTATGCTTTTTTTTGAGGGGATACACAAATAATATATTACTGAGACATGAGAAGTATCACAAAGTCTGAAACTATTTAAAGATTAGTTTTTTGTTGTATTTTTAAGTCACACTAATAAGTTCTGTAAAATTCAGATGGCAATTTTCAAGCTTAAATTACTGGTGGAGGAAGAACTGAGGTGCGTGCCCCTTTTAGCATTATTTCAGGCATGAGAGAGTACCTGAGTAGAACCACTGACATTCTGTAGTTAGCTTCATAAGCTTCCTGACATGTCCCACAACTGATTGGATTTGAAACCACAGCAGTAACGGCGCAAGTGATTGTAAGTTGACAATATTAACCACTCAGCCATGGATTTGAAAGATATGGCAAAGTAGAATGCTTAGCATTCATGACATTCGAATAACACATAATTTATAAAAATAGATTATCCTATATCAATTAAATCAAACAAATATCCTCTACATTCAACCAAAAATAAAACAATGACACATACATTAAACAGCACATGTAACATGGCGAAAACATATAAGAAAGATAAGCATGTGATATTCTACAATTCACTGCAAATTTAGAATTGCACATACAAACAAGAGACTAGATTTATTCAATAGATTCATCAATTTTATTACAATCCCACAAATGGGTTTGAGATCAGCATGGATCCAGACCAGCCTGCACATCCTGATCAGGATCCATGCTGTTCAATTACAAACTCTATAACAAATAGATTAACTGATAGCGAACAGCATAGATCCTGATCAGACTGCGCGGATGCGTAGGCTGGTCTGGATCCATGCTGGTCTCAAACCCATTATGTTGGTTTTGTCATGACGCGGCTCATCTAATAAATCTTTAACAGCAATGTTAAAGGTTTATTTTCGTTATTGTGACACAAAACTATATTAAAAGTTTCATCCACAAATTTTCTTTGGTCTCCAAACAAGTTAAAGGGACTCCACTGATGTTTTTTTTTTAAATGGCGGAACTGAAAATATCTTTTTAAAGATTTTCGTACCATATGATGTAGGTCTAATAACTAATACTTATAACTTGTGTGCAAATTGTTCACATCATTTCTGCACACCGATTTTCCGAAATAATCATTTTTATTGTTAAAAATGACCAAAAAAAACAAAACATTGCAAGACTTTTCACTCAAATAGGACTTAGAACTGCACTACTGATTTTCACTTTATTTCTAAGTATATTTCTTTATTTTATTTCTTAATTATCCTTTGAAGATTTTCAATTTTAAGTACCACTTGATCTATGTGAAAACTTTTACTTTTATGTTTGTAGGCTTTTTGGAGTGCAGGACAAAAACCCAACCGTCCAAAAATCACAAGGCAGACAAAAGCCCTCTCGTGAAAATGACAGGGCAGACAAAAGTCCTGCTGTAAAAATGACTGGAGGGCTTTTGTCTGCCTTGTCATTTTTGTTCGGGAGGGCTTTTGTCCGTTTCTCTGCTTTTGTACCTCAGTGGAGCTCCTTTAAACCATGCCTCTTTAATTTTAAGATAACTATCAGAACTTGTGCATTGACATGGCAGTGATCAAAAAATATATTTAAAGAAATATATATTATGGATACATTTATACCTCCATCCCCCAACTATTTATATGAATCTATTAAATAAAACCCTAATACAATGCTATCTTGGACAAATCCACACAATTCATGCATAGGAGATTGTGCGTGTGTGTATTCCATACAATACAGTCATGCAACACTGTCAACATAACACTGTCCACTTAATATATATATATTACACTATATATTACCTGCTTCCACCACTGGGACCAGTGAAAATAAATAAAATAAATCAAGTTATAACGTTGCTATGATTTCTTCATCTTAGTAACCATGAATATATTCTACCATTTTCATCTAAATAAATACATGTTACGTATAAAATAAGTAGTCAAATCGCAAATCTAAATATTTTCTATAATAATAAATTTGGGCTGTACTTGTCTAAACATATAGGGTTTTATTTTTTTAATTAAAATTAATTTAATTAATCCAATTTTATATACATGTATTTATTGAGATACTATGATTCTTCTGGTAAATACAGGCTGGCCTTGAGTGGCTTTATATTGGTAACCTAAGCAAAGGTCTTAATGATTACCAGCATTCAAATGGCTAAAACTATAGTCTGCAAGAAAAACATGCATATCACAATGTGTAAATAGAAATTTACAGATACAAATAGTGTTTATTACAACTTTCATACAACTTTATTACAGTGCAAAGAATTTAGTAGAATTAAAGAACTTCACCAGGAATTTTTTTGTGATGATAATAATTTATACAAATTTATATTTTATAATTGTAATAATTTACTTTTTGAAGTTTTAACTTAATTAATTACTATTGAAATTTTTAAATGAAAACTAATTATACAGATTGTCAGTTCTAAAGTTTGAAAGTGAAATTTTCCTATCTACATGATCTACAGTGGAAAAATAATCCAATATATTAAAGAATATAGCTATATTAAATAATATTACAAAATTTTATTTTAAAAAGGTATGCATATAAATAGGGAGGGAAAAAAAGGCTTATAAAATCTATTCTCAAGGGAATGAAATGTACACTCAAGTATTAGGAAATACAGAGGGTTTGAAATAAAAGCGGGTAATTTCATAACATCTTATGTTATTTTATGCTAATTAACAAGAAACCCATTGGTCATGAATACCAGACAAAAAGATAATTAGAATTCCACAGTAAAATAGGACATTAATAAATGTTATCTACATAGCATATTCTTAACCTTTTCCCTTATATAAGCGTGTTTCGACGGCTTTTTGCCCCCCCCCCCCCCTTTTGAGGCCTCAAACAGTGAAAAAATGTCCTATTTAGACCCCAAACACTGTTTTTCGTTAGAGAAATGTTGTTAAAAAAAGTGACCATTTTTTCGGCGCCGTCCCCCATCCAAATAATACATCAGGGGGTTGCCAGAAGGGGGATGTGCCCCCTTCTGTTTGGGGGGTTTGAAGGGGGGCGGATTCCCCCTCATCCCCAAGAAAATTTTGGACTTGTGAGAGGCTTAAAATGACCCCAGGTTGATCATAAAGTAACGTGTAACCAACGCTGAAAAGCCTTTGACTCTATCTCAATCCATTGAGAAGTTGCAGCACTTTGAAATAAATTTTGATGGAAAAAATCGAGGCAAAATAGTGATTTTTTGCAATTTTGAGATGTCCCCTCGTTGCCATGGTAACAGAAAATTTAAGACTGAGCATGTCGTTACAAAGGCAATGGTCCACTCAACATTTGTGCCAAGTTTGATTAGTATTGAAGCATTTTTCATAGTTTCATAGCAGTTTGAACTTGTAAGAGGAGGCTTTTCAGTGAAAATGGCCATTTTTCACAATATGCTCATGGGGGAAAGGGTTAACCTTTATTTTCAAATGAATATTTTTTTTATGATAAACTTAAAAAATGTTTTTCAATCTAGGAAAATTAATTCATTTTCAATGGATGGATGGATGGATGAATTACATACATGTAGAATGCTTTTTCTTTTTTTGTACCCTTCATAATTAGTTGTATTTCCGCAGGACCCGTAGCCCGGCTTGCACAATAAACTTGAGCAATATACCACATAGCAGAAAGGCATTCTCATGTAATAATGCTTAGGTAATTGCTTATTTTGAAATATTATCTCTGATAAATTTAGGTTTGTACACCTTAAATCAAGTATAATGTACATGTCAAAAGGGGCCTGAAAAAACCCCAACTAATTTATAACATTAATATTGGTTTAAAAATGTTTTTTCCATCAATTTTATATTACAAATATCTACAATTTTTCTTTATTTCTTATTTCATGATTAGGTAAATCGTACATTGTATAATATAATTTATTGCAATTTCAAGTATGTATCTGACATAACGATAATCCATCAATTATTTAAGCATGATTTACCTTCCGTCGGGTTTGCCGTCAACGTATTTAATGCCAGCTCCATTTGGTTTGTTGACAAAAATAACTCCTGTACTTGGATTGATAGCAAAGAACTGTCCAGGACTTTGTGACTCGATACTGTATTCTAGCTGAGTCAGAGGTCCATCCAAATCTGTTCCCTAGAACGGAGAAAGGAAGTAAAATCAGTCACAAGTGTGCCAATCTCAGATCACATCTTATAGACTTACTCCGGAATTACAAATATTTGGGTTTTTACCAGGTTATACCATAGATACAAACAAACTTTTACATTAACAGCTTTGAAAATAAGCTTAACCGTTTGACTAATTTATTGTGATGGGTAGTGCACCGTGAAGCTATAATGGTGAAAAGTTAGTTTGCACCATAAAACCCACTTTGCCAAATTCCGGACAACGTCTCTTACATTAATTTAGGAGTCAAATGATGCAATGTGTTCACGAGAGTAAGACCAAACCATTTTAGAGACCTACATATGTGATTATGATACATATTGATAATTATATATGTTGAGATCTCAAGGACAGATACATAATTATATCTCTGGATTATTTCAGGCATGACTGGGCACCTCAGTATAGAACCTGACCTAGATTCCATGAGCTAGCTGGATAGCTTTCTCACATGAAAGAATTCAAAGACCCAAGGAAGGATTCAAACTCGTAGCATTAAGGGGCAAGTGTTTCTTGTTTCTGTTTTATAACTTGCGTTAGACCAAGAACATGGAGAAATAGCCCAAACTCCAACCAAGGTCCCTCACCCTAAAAATGTTATAATGAATATTCTCTAAAAAATTTACCTGTACTTTAAGTTCTGGATCAAATTCTCTTTCATTCTCTATTATTTCTCTTTCATAATCTCCAACCACAGGTGGATTATCGTTAACATTTGTCAAATATACGTTCAGAGACACCGTTGAAAACTTCCCATTTAGACTTCCTTTACTGTCCCTTGCTAAAAGTGGAGAAAAATCATTTTCAGTCATTTTTCAATTCAACAGCTTAATCAAACTGTCACCCTTTCTGTGGAATTTGACTAATTATTAGGTCATACTTTTGTTAAAGACACAATTTAAGAAGTAAGAAACAATTTTCTATGTGTACTTAATACACCTAAGTCACCTAAAAATGCTTAATGTCTGATATATAAGATAAGAACAATTATTCTTATTTATAGCATTGGTGATTAACATCTCAAATTGAAATAGAGACCCCATGATATATAACATAAGCCAACTGCACACAAACTCTCATGTAAATATGTTGTTCCTAACTGAAGTTAAATAAACCAGTATAGCAAAAGTGACCTAGACCTTAATAGCTTAATTACCAACCGGCTTCACATAAGCTATTTGATACTTTTATACAAAATTGAATCTATATTAAGAAACAACTCTGATTTTTTTTCAATTCTATGCTATTCAACCTCATGCAGTGCCTTTATTTAACAAGCATTTGATAGTATTGCGGGCAATACAGTAGTCCCCTACCGGTCCCTCAAAAAGTTCTTTAATTGTCATACACTCCTGTGTATTGCCATTTATAATGAATTTGAGGATGAAGTCTGTATTTGAAAATATCGACCACAAAACATAATAAAATAAGTTTGTTTATATCACAGTAAGGGGGACATAATTCTGGAAATAGTCTTGCTAGAGTATTTAACCTTCTCAAAAATGTCGAGTGATAATAAGAAACATATATATGAAGTTTGAAGTAGATACATTAGGAAATAAAGAAGTTATTTAAAAAAGACAACATTTTTTCCCCTAAAAAATCTAAGTTCAAGGGAGGTAATATTAATATTTTTTGTGCTAGAGTTATAAACCTTGTCACATATGATGTGGTTGATGACCAGGAACTTATATTTAAAGTTTGAAGTAAACACCTTAAGAAATAAAGAACATATAGTGAAAAAGCTGAAAAATTTAAATCAGAAATCTTGAAATTCAGGCTATTTGTTGCCATAGCAACCAGAATTTTCAACATAGGAAGAAAAGAAAAAGATGTGCATAATCTCCAGACTGCCATCTACCCATATTTCAAGTTTCATAAAAATATTTTCAGTACTTTTTGAGTTATCACTGGATCCAGTTTATGTGTTAAATTTGCCATATTTTCAGACTATTTGTTGCCATAGCAACCAGAATTTTCAACATAGGAAGAAAAAAAAAAGACGTGCATAATCTCCATACTGCCATCTATCCATATATCAAGTTTCATAAAAATATTTTCAGTACTTTTTGCGTTATCGCGGGATCCAGTTTTGTGGACGGACGGACGGACTGACGGACTGACAGACAGACAGACGGACAGACAGACGGACAGACAGACAGACGGACAGACGGACGGAGGGTAAACCTAAAGTCCCCTCCGGTTAAACCGGTAGGGGACTAATTACCATTTCATACAGAAGTGTCTGACATTTGACCTTCATAGGTGACCTTGGCATGGAGCCAGCACAGTGACAGCATGGGTTCTGCACATCATCATTTTTGTGGTGAACATATGAGTCATTTAGTTTCAGGAAAATCCTTCAAGGAGTTTATATATTACAGAGCAGATACAAAATTGCCTGAAATTTGACTTTCACGGATGACCTTTACCTTGAACCAGAATGGCAGCAGCTTGGGTTCTGCATAATGCTTTGTTGAGGTGAACATTCGAGTAAAGTTTAAAGAAATTTCTTCTGGAGATATAATAACAGAAATGATTACTACTTTGTACTACTAATACAGTGACAAAAGGTACCATAAAAAGGTAAGCTACCCACCTCTTATGGTTAATCTATAAATAGTAGGGGCAGTGTCATAGTCTAAGCATGGCCTCACACCATATGTATCGCAGGAAGCAACCTCGACTAAACCTGTTTCTGAGTTAATTGTGAATCTGAAACATACAAATATTTATTACATGCTTTGCAGTGGAAAGTGAAACTGATATTTGATAATTTTCACACTGAAATTATATTAGATAATTTTCACTGTAGCCGGACTATATTTGAATACAGATAAAAATAATATTTCATAACTAAATGGAATTATCAACAGGAATAAAGTCTGCCATATGTAAATGTTGCTTCTTTAGGAGAAGCAAGTAAATAACTGCATACATTAAAAATTTTTACAGAACTAAGTTTCAACATTGGTATGGTGACATCATGATGTGATGACATCATGAAGAAGAATGCATGATGATGTAACATCACATGGCAAAACAAGTAAAAATGACTTAAAATCACTTTACTTTTAAATACATTTCCAAAATTTTTATAAAAATAAGCATGAATCTAGAGGGATGCTGCTTTAAATACACCAGTGCTCTATAGAATATTTGGTTTACTTACAGATCTAAGTAGGATCCATAGAGTTCATATCTTATTCCATCTGTACCAAACTCTCCACTATCAATATCAGTTGCCTGTAAAGAAAGTTTTTCAACGATAACACATCTTTGACTCAAAAAAGCATTTGTTTTGCAGGGTAAATATCTTAGTTCAGGTTAGAACTCACATAAAAAAATAACTACCGACAGAAAATATTTCTATACAAGTTTTGACCTAAACATAAAAGACCTCTTGCATTAAAAAGTTAAATTCCCTGAATAAAATGAACCTGACATTCTGATATCCACCTTAACTGAGCTACCACTTTCTTTGAGAAAACACTTCCTTTGGGCAGCCACTTTCTTCAAGCAGCCATTTCTTAAACAATCTCAAGGACACTATAACATGTATTTCTAAAATCTTAACTTCGCTTTTGTTATAACTCTATTATATATTTGTTTGACAAGTAAATATAATTTCATTTACTTTTGACCTAGAAGCATTTACGTGCATTTATTTAACACTTACTCCAAATTACACCAAATATCACAATTTATTTGCGCATTTTACCTGAATTTCTTTGAAATATATCAATTTTTCTTAACAATCTTGACCTGGGAACAATTAGATATATCATAAATTTTACCTGAATTCTCTTCACAGCTGTGCCGACAGGAGAATCTTCTGGAATGGTGGCATTGTAAGCTGCTTGTGGGAAAGTAGGTCTATTGTCATTGACATCAAGAATATTGACAAGAATTTCTGCCACTGATGATTTGGAATTGTCATCTATATCATATGTTCTCAACTGAAATGGAAAAATATTACCTTACCATCAAAATAGGCAGAAAAAGAAATGTCAGCTAGTTGGACTTATTCATTTCTTAGCCATGCTGAATTAATTTGGAACAATGCACTAATGGGATAGCTGATTTGCAATGTTAGTTATTCAGGCAGTAAAAAAAGTGAAATCATCCCTAGAAATGTATGGTTTTGTCCAGATTGAAAGCTAGACAAGTCTTATATTCATACATCAAATGTAGTAAGGATTTAAGAGAAAATTATAGACTTACAGTCAGTCGATACATCTTCGGTCCTCGGTCATAATCAATCAAATCCGAGTTCTTCACTTGAATATGAGGTGCTGTTGGTATGCCGCCGACCTCAAACTCTTCACTGTTTCCAATAAACTCACTAGTGAATGCGTTATACAATTCCTGTTATAATAAAAGCAGATATAAATTAAATAAAGTAAGAAAGGGTTCAGAATAAACAAATAAAACTTTAATAATTTAAAAGCTTAATTCTAGGAAATGCAATTTTTAAATAATGGACTACAGTTGATCGAAACCAAACAAAAATATAACCAGGAAAAAGATAAGACATTGTTTTTACCTAATAAAGAGTTACCAACAATTCACCCCTAAGGGAAACTATAATAATACATGTTGTATTATTTCACACAAATATTCATGCAGGAGATATAGAGCTTTTTAAACTTTGAAGAAACATAAAGTTTGCCTTTTCTCCAGTGTATTCCATACTGAAAATTGTATTCCATACAAGGTTTTATATGATTCCAACAAGACCAACCTCACGCATACATTCAATTATTTATTATTCATATCGTTTTCAAACTACATGTAGTATGTTCTTTATTTCTTTTTTGTTTTTTTGTTTTTTTTTTGGTTTTTTTTATACGAGGTTTTATAAACATAAGTTTAAAATAAGTAAATATAGTAAAATTTACCGTATCCCCATCAAAAGGAATAATTGGGGGATCATTCAGAATAAATCCAGAAGGCGCAGTCTCTAATAAAGAATAAACATAAAGCCCTCTGTCTAATATTGGTCGGTTGTCATTCACATCCTTGATTGAAACAGGAACAGTACCGATAGTTGTGCACTCAGAATCATTCCCAAGTTTAAATGGATTTTCACTTATGATTTCACATGCCTATCGAGAGAATTAAATAATTAAATATAATGTAAGAAACACTTTTATTTGAATTTATATATGTTCTGTTTTACATCTTGCTGTTCACATTGATCAAAATCGTCTTTCAATTACCCAAGGTGTAGTGGTTTTATTATATTGCCACTGTTACCAGTCAAGTATCTAAGATACAGGGCATTGTAGTTTTCTACAAGAACATTATTAAATGTATTCATATAAATAAGTCTATATAAACTTAGTGACCACCAAGATGAATTCTAACCTATCTCTGATTTGTCTATATATATATGTTCTAGGTATAGTATCTTAGGAGATTTTCAAGATACATATAATAGTTGTTTACTATTTAAATATATGAACACTAGTGGGTAAACCTTCACTCTGCACATGGTCTCATTTTTGTTCAGATTTTCCAGCCAGGAAGTTTTAATTTTCTTACCCTTGTTTCGAAAGATACAGATTCTTATGGGTGTTTAAAAAGCACTCAGATGCCCAACAGATGCATAATTTCAGGTAAAAACAGACACAATATCTCTTACTGTAACAGGCTGCCCAGATATTGTGTAATTTCTGACACTTACAACATACATCTTGTCTAAAACCAAATCCAATGTCAAGGTGTACAAGACTTAGACAATTTCATTGTCCTCTAAAATATTATCTTTATAAGAAAATATACGCACAAAATAAACACTGAAAAGTTTCATGCAAATCAAGGCAGACTAAAAAAAAAGAAAGGTAATTCGAATACATTTAGACAGTATTATAAAATTCCTTTACTGGTACCTACCTTCACCCTAATTAGCCACAAATCTCGCAAAATCTTTGGATCGTATGAGCGAAAGTAAGTTGTATCTTCCAAATCCAGATTAACTTTATTTGTTATGATGCCAGTTCTGTTATTTATTTCCCATACATTCTGTATAGGTATACCTTGGTAATCACCTAAAATTCATAATAATGAGAGAGTTAAAAGATTTACAATAACACATTTACTTAAATTTGAGCCAAGCCAACAAAACCAACAAAATGCGTTTGCGGCCAGCATGGATCCAGGCCAGCCTGCACATGTTTTGTTTATGTATTTTATTGTTGGCAAATTTCATTTTCCACTTTAATTCTTTTAATATGACATTTACCTGAAACAATTTAACTAACAAGAGCTGTCGGTAGGACAGCAACGCTCGACTATTCTTAGTGCTTGATAGTAAAAAAAAATGCTTGATACAGTTACCTCCTCCTGTTTACAGGTTGGGGTCATGATGGTGAACAAGTGTGCAAAGTTTCAAAACCATATGTCAATGGACTTTGAAAATATTTGAACTATTACAAAAACTTTAACGTAAATTCTAAGTCGAAAAAGGGGCATAATTCTGTCAAAATGCTTGATAGAGTTACCTTCTCCTGTCTACAGGTTGGGGTCATGATGGTAAACAAGTGTGCAAAGTTTCAAAGCCATATGTCTATGGACTTTGAAAATATTTGAACTATTACAAAAACTTTAACGTAAATTCTAAGTCGAAAAAGGGGCATAATTCTGTCAAAATGCTTGATAGAGTTACCTCCTCCTGTCTACAGGTTGGGGTCATGATGGTGAACAAGTGTGCAAAGTTTCAAAGCCATATGTCAATGGACTTTGAAAATATTTGAACTATTACAAAAACTTTAACATAAGTGGTTACGCCGACGCCGACGCTCGGGTGACTGCAATAGCTCTACTTATTCTTATCGAATAGTCAAGCTAAAAATAACATATTTGAGCCATGTCACGACAAAACCAACATAGTGCGTTTGCGACCAGCATGGATCCAGACCATCCGTGCAGTCTGATCAGGATCCATGCTGTTTGCTATCAGTTTCTCTACTTGTTATAGGGGTTGTAAGACTGCGCGGATGCGCAGGCTGGTCTGGATCCAAGCTGGACGCAAACTCATTATGTTGGTTTTGTCATGACGCGGCTCATATTTAACCTTTAGAAAACGCTGAAGGTCACTTTAAGATTTTTAACATGGTAAGGGATAAATGAGGCGCATAATAATCCTCTATGTCAAATGTTAGGTGAAAGACACTAACAGCTATAATATTTGATTGGTGAAATCTTATGAAATGCTTACTTGGTATGATTTCATAAAATATAGCTCTTTTTCCAGTGTCCTGGTCTTCAGCTTGAATCTGTATGTCCTGAATAAACTGCAAAAAAAAAAGGAAATGCTGCAAAGAATCTTCGTGAATTAAAAAAATCTTACTAAAAGAATGTTTAAAGATAGCAACAAGAACAGATTATAATCTTATGCTTATGCTATTTGATAACTACTGCTTTTAGCATGAAACCACTTCTTTATACATATAAAGGTGAACTTAATAGCTTCATTATTTTTTTAGGCAAATAAATTTACCTGAAACATGCACTTTTTGTTAAAATGGGTCAAAGATGTTTAAAGGCACATTATGCCTCAGAAACAGGGTTTTTTAAATAGAATTTTCTATTTGAAGGACCCTGTCAGGAAGGAATATTTTTTCTTCCTATCACGAGTTTAAGTACATGTATGTTTCAATAATGGTTTAACAGCGCATATCACCTGCAAATATTAGCTGAATGTGGAATAATTTGTCACAAAAGTAGCAATATGTAAACAAAGTAGTCTTTTACTTTCATACAAAATATCAAAGAAGTTTAAGTGTACCATTATTGCCAAAAGAAAACAGAATCAAACAATGGTTCTGATACCTTATCAATGAGAAACTTTTTGGAAACTATTACAAGAAACCAAAAAGTATAAAGCTTTTGAGAAATGAAAAAAACAAAAAGAACTAATGGGCCTTTAAAATTAAAGTATACTTGAAAAAAAATATTTGGAATACCTAAATAATAGCGGTGCATCGATAATATACAAATAAGTCATGGAACTTTGCCTGTTACAAATGACTTATCATGGTTTACATTGTTTCAACTTGAGACACTTTAGGAAACTTACCAAAAACTGTTGTTTTTTATTCTTGTAATACAGAGATCTGATCAATATTTGAGCCGTGTCATGACAAAACCAACATAATGGGTTTGCGACCAGCATGGATCCAGACCAGCCTGCACATCCGCGCAGTCTGATCAGGATCCATGCTGTTCGCTTACAAACCCTATTACAAGAAAAGAAACTGATAGCGAACAGCATGGATCCTGATCAGACTGCGCAGATTGGTCTGGATCCATGCTGGTCGCACCCCCATTATGTTGGTTTTGTCATGACGCGGCTCATTTATATACAGCCCACCTTTTAAACTTTACCCTTGGTGGCCTTTGTTGACAAGTTTAACTATACTTCACTAATTGGAATAATGATAAAGAGATCTGATATTTATATACTACTCTGGTATCGTCATAAATTTCTTATGTGCCACATGACTTTAACATCATGACCATCACATGGTTTGAAAGCTTACCATTGTATCACCAAGTGACAACGCTGGTTGATCTAGAATGGTGATCCTGTTTGGCAGCACAGTCCAAATGGGACCCAAATCTTGTTCATCTATAACATTGACAGTAACATCATATCGTTGATTAAAGTAACCATCCTGGAAAAAAAAGCGACAATATATATTTTGACAAATTAACAATCATGAGTGCATTTGTTTATCTGTTTTACATTCATGTAAAGCTTTGATGCAAGGATTGATATGACAATGTTGGAATGGGTGTACATATTAAACCATTAATCTCTTACATTGTAAACCCATGATGATGATGATGATGATGATAATGATAATGATGATGATGATGAATCAGTATACTCTATTCATTATTAAAATAAATTTGATATACCACACAAGCACATTATCATAGCATAGTATACTTTTACGTATTAAAATAAAGAATATATTTTGATAATAACTTGATCCTCCATTCAGCAGCCACCTGGCTGGTTAAGACAGGTTTGACTGGAATGGAATGACAAAAAAACACACACAAATATTGTACTAATTTCAAGCATAATCTAAAAGTGAATGAAATAATGTTTTTGCTTTAAGAAAAGTGATTATCATTTAAAAGCTTGTATATGTATACTGAAACCAACAGCTTCAAGAATGGATCATTCCAGGCAAGTTTCATCATTATAGGACCATTAGTTTCATACATAAGTATTCAAATATTACAAATCATAACAATATTTTTTGACTGCTTGTAGAAGTATTCAAGTTGGCAAAATGCCAAACATTTAATTACAATTAATCAATGTCAACTAACTTAGAAAATGTCACCGTCACAGTATTAATGAATATCCAATCTTTAAAACTGTTTGGCAAACTTTTTACAAGAATTTGTTTGACTTACATCAACTGTTATAACAACTTGAAATACACCGGCCACTTCATAATCCAGCGGTTTAAGGACATACAAATCACCATTAAACTTTTTTTCGTTTAATGCAGTAGCGTTCAGCCTAAACCTATCACTGCATGGCACTTCTTCCTGTGTAAATAAAAAAAACAACATAAAATTTAGTTTAAGCATTATTATTTAACTTAAGCTTGATTTTTAAAACAGTTCCAAAACATATATATTTTTAGCTTTCTAGTCGGCTTCTCGGTTGTAACCTGATCTGGCGTCTTGTGAGGAAACATGACCATGATCAATGTCGGACTTGAACTCACAACCATCCGTTGAGAGGTAAACATGGTCATCACTCTCTAAAATCTTAAGCATAAGCCAAGATGTCCTAGTTTCCTCACATATATAAAGAATTAAATGCTGCTATATGGACTCCTGCAAAATATATTGGGGACAATAGATTGGAGTTAAGGACAATAGATTGGAGTCAAGGACATTTGATTGGAGTATAGGACAATTGATTGCAGTCAATGATATTTGTTTGGAGTATAGGACAATTGATTGCAGCCAAGGACATTTGATTGCAGTCAATGACATTTGATTGGAGTCAAGGACATTTGATTGGAGTCAAGGACATTTGATTGGAGTCAAGGACATTTGATTGGAGTATAGGACATTTGATTGGAGTATAGGACAATTGATTGCAGTCAAGGACATTTGATAGCAGTCAAGGGCATTTGATTGGACTCACTGTATAGGACAATTGATTGCAGTCAAAGAAATTTGACTGGAGTATAGGACAATTGATTGCAGTCAATGACATTTGTTTGGAGTATAGGACAATTGATTGCAGTCAAGGACATTTGATAGCAGTCAAGGGCATTTGATTGGACTCACTGTATAGGACAATTGATTGCAGTCAAAGAAATTTGATTGGAGTATAGGACAATTGATTGCAGTCAATGACATTTGTTTGGAGTATAGGACAATTGATTGCAGTCAAGGACATTTGATTGGAGTCAAGGACATTTGATTGGAGTCAAGGACATTTGATTGGAGTATAGGACAATTGATTGCAGTCAATGACATTTGTTTGGAGTATAGGACAATTGATTGCAGTCAATGACATTTGTTTGGAGTATAGGACAATTGATTGCAGTTAAGGACATTTGATTGGAGTCAAGGACATTTGATTGGAGTCAAGGACATTTGATTGGAGTATAGGACAATTGATTGCAGTCAATGATATTTGTTTGGAGTATAGGACAATTGATTGCAGTCAATGACATTTGTTTGGAGTATAGGACAATTGATTGCAGTCAAGGACATTTGATTGGAATCAAGGACATTTGATTGCAGTCAATGACATTTGATTGGAGTATAGGACAATTGATTGCAGTCAATGATATTTGTTTGGAGTCAAGGACATTTGATTGGAGTCAAGGACATTTGATTGGAGTATAGGACAATTGATTGCAGTCAATGACATTTGTTTGGAGTATAGGACAATTGATTGGAGTCAAGGACAATGGATTGGAATCAAGGACATTTGATTGCAGTCAAGGACATTTGATTGGAGTATAGGACATTTGATTGGAGTCAAGGACAATGGATTGGAATCAAGGACATTTGATTGCAGTCAAGGACATTTGATTGGAATCAAGGACAATGGATTGAAATCAATGACATTTGATTGCAGTCAAGGACATTTGATTGGAATCAAGGACAATGGATTGAAATCAATGACATTTGATTGGATTACAGGACAATTGATTGCAGTCAAGGACATTTGATTGGAATCAAGGACATTTGATTGGAGTCAAGGACATTTGATTGGAGTATAGGACAATTGATTGCAGTCAATGATATTTGTTTGGAGTATAGGACAATTGATTGCAGTCAATGACATTTGTTTGGAGTATAGGACAATTGATTGCAGTCAAGGACATTTGTTTGGAGTATAGGACAATTGATTGCAGTCAAGGACATTTGATTGCAGTCAAGGACATTTGATTGGAGTCAAGGACATTTGATTGGAGTCAAGGACATTTGATTAGAGTATAGGACAATTGATTGGAAGTCAGTGGCTTAAATCACTGATGTTCCTGGATTATAAAATAGAAATTTTAAAAAATGACACTAAAACTAATTATGATCGTTATATATAATACTTACATTGCTTATAGTACAGAAAAGGACGCTTGCTCTTAAATAGTTGACACCTGCTGAACGTACGTTATCAACATCAGTCATTACTATGTTCTTTATCGCCAGGGTGCCACTGATTGGATCATCTACTGGGGTATTCTGAAATGGCCAACATTCAAAACTGATCAGGTAAAAGAAACAAAAGTTACTGTCTATAATAACTCTAACCTCTATCAACTTTTTTCTTGAAAACCAACCAACATTAACTAGCATCTTTTGTCTGAATCTATGCATAACAAAGATATTACATTGCTTGGCAACAAAGATATTACATTGCTTGGCAACAAAGATATTACATTGCTTGGCAACAAAGATATTACATTGCTTGGCAATCAGGATATTGCATTGCTTGGCAATAAAGATATTACATTGCTTGGCAACAAAGATAATACATTGCTTGGCAACAAAGATATTACATTGCTTGGCAACAAAGATATTACATTGCTTGGCAACAAAGATATTACATTGCTTGGCAATAAAGATATTACATTGCTTGGCAACAAATATATAATTACATGTACAAAATCAGGCAGCAATAACACATAAAACTGTAACATGCTTTCAGTAAAATAAGAAGTTTTTTTTCAAACATCCAATAACTGCATTTTCTGACATTCTAAGGATTAACATGTGTAATACAACATAAAATCTCATTGGACAGATAAAGATTCAATAGTACCAGAAATATTATATTCTGACAGGAATGACTGAGAACCCTCTCTTAAATCAAAGTTCAACACAGTTGAAAATAGAACATTTTACTCATGGCCTATATCCAAACCCTACAGTTATAGCCCTGGCAAAAGGTTATAAATGCAGACAGTGAAAATGCCCATCTATTTAAGCTCTAAAAACCATAGCACAATGCAGAATTGGTAACTATTAAATTTACTGACCTCTCTAACGGTGTATGACACAGTGTCATTGCGAAACTTGGGTCTATTGTCATTGAAATCCAGCACTCTACATGTACTTGTTCTTTTTCTAAACTGAAATAAATAAATGTAATGTTATAACAATAGTATGGTTTAGTTATACTTACCTTTTGTTGAGAAATAAATAAGCATAAAAGTCATCATAATTATCACATGAGCAATTAGCACTGCCATGTACAAGACACATATGTAAACTAAAACGCAACCAAGTCTAAGATGCATTTGTAAACAAACACTGCTACATATGGGACACATATGTAAATGAACACTACTATGTGATGGATGCATATGTAATTGAAAACTGCTATTTATGGGACACACATGTAAACTAACACTGCCATGTAAGGGACACATATGTAAACAAACACGGCTATGTAGGTATGGGATACAAATGTAAACACACACTGCCATGAATCAGACACATATGTAAACAAACACTGCCATTCATAGTTAACATATGTAAACAAACACGGCCATTTATAGTTTGCATAATATAAACAAACTCTGCCATGACTGGGTCACATAAATGTAAATAAACACTGCTAGGTATGGGTCATATAAGAAAACAAAGAAGCTGTGACAGGCCTTTGTACCAGAAATATATATGATATACTCATGTTTAGAAGGAAACATAACAAGTCAACAATTTTATTTCCTAAAGCACAATAATTATGTAAAAACAAGTAAAACTTAAAAAAAAAACTTTAGGAAACATTACAAATCATCTATTATAATTCCTTATTACTTATTTACTGATGCAAGTTAAAAACTCCTGTGATCGTACTAAAATATAAGCCGGGAACAAAACATAATTTGAACTTACGTCAGATTCATCTTCTCTTTTCGCTATCAGCTGTAGTCGAATATTTCTGTTTGAAGGATCCTGAAACAATCAGTAAGTTAAAAATTAAATGCTTTTAAAAAAAAATAGTATTTCCCTATTATATACCTATGTACATTTTGGTCATTTTCATCTCCTGAAAGTTATTTATACATACAGATTCTAATAAATTTTCTGTACTTCACACTTTGTAATGTTCAAATTATAAAATATCATGCAAAGGCATATTGCAATGAAAACCAATTAAACACTAAGAGACTATTATTTTAAAACAGCAACTTATCGTTATGTCATTTTTCTCTGATTCGATATTAAAAACCTACATGAGAAAAAATTTTAATTTTAAAACAAACCTCATAATCTAGCTTGTTACAGCACATGAAAACTTCGCCCGAGGTCCTGTTGATTCGAAAATAAGAAGACGTAGCCGACAAAGTAGTGTCAGTGTTGTCCTCTGGAGCGTTGTTGAAACCATAGATTATACCAGCTGGGCTGTTTGTAACTGAATCTACAGCTCGCAGCGTGTATATATATTTTCCATCTGTATGAAAATAACAGCAAATGTTGTACAAAGCATTTACAATGTGTGTTTATCAATTAATGATTATTAATCCTATTAACGACCAGTGGTTAAGGATGCAGAGCAATTTATGATTAATTATCCTACATTCAACAGCCTCCCTGGTCCAGTGGGTATAAAATAATAAGGTTGCGGAACATTTGCACAACATTGATCAAGCTTTCAGCAAGGAACATACAAGGTTGGTTTCATATGATTTATCATTTTGTGAAATGGCATCAATTCAAAGGAAAATGTCATTTAAAAAAAAAAAAAGACGAAAGCCACCACTGTCACAGCAATTGGTCCACCCTAAAAAATAACCAAGAGCACTTTGTGCACATGACATTGGTTATATGACATGCATTCATACAAAATTATATGACCTTAACAGCTAAAATAAAAGTAAAAGTTATATAACTTACTCCAATTTGTTTCAAAAGCTTTATTTTCTTCAATTTTTATATAGTCATCTCCTGGTGGTTCAACAAACTCAAATTCATTCATATCTCTTTGCCATATTATTTCTGCTGTAACTGAAATAATAATAACTTTGAATTAGTAATATATAAATTAGTATAATCTTATAGCCGGAAATTGTCAATCTTACAGCTACACAAAATAAATACACATTTTGATGAAAGAAGAATGAAAACAATTGCATTATATGATCATATATTCTGATGCCACAGAGAACAATTGATGTAACTTTGAAATGTGGTTTCAGTGTCAGTGAAGGCTTTAAGGGTTTCCTTACAAATATTACTCCCCGAGGGGTACCAAGTCCCTGCATATATTGCATTATTTGATCAAATTTTGCTAATATGTAGAGCACCTGTGATTTATATCAGATTGATGAAAATATGATAACATCTTTAATTATTGACTTTGAATTTGATATATATAAATTACAGGACTGTACTTTTAAGCAAGACTGCAGGCCAGTAAATATCAGTTAAACATGTCTGTGAAAGTAAGCCTTTTCATTTTAAGAAATTTACAGAAATAATTAATTATCGTTTTATTCAAGGGCATCATCGCGGCCTACAGAAATTGTATCTCTGACCATCAATTAGGCAGGAAAGTTTACACAAGATTTTTTTTAAATGGCTAAAAGTGTACTATGATCTAAACTGTTTTTTTCACAACAATTGACTCATACGAGAAAAATTTAAAACTGTGAAGTCCAACAATTTAATACAAGTAGTCTAACTTTAAATTTGACTCGTAGGATGCTGCGATTAAAAAAAACATCAACACATTTTTGGACAGTTGATGTAATAGTTTGACAGTAAAGTTCAGGCAAAAAATGTCTGAACTGATTCAAACCATTTTCGGCTCAAAGGGAGGTAACTTCAATTCAATTGAAAAATCTTGTCTGAAATAAATAATCATGAATATGAACATACCATATGTAATGCTTAGAAACAGCACAGCAGTCCATGTCAATGAAATGCCCCTCATCGTGACTGCTTGGGCTCACCTACATAAATACAAATATAACGAATAGTAAAACATTGCCTTTTACAACTCACTAGCTATTTTTATATTGCATAATTACCCTATCTTTAAAAGTGATTTAACTGTTTGCCAGAAAAAATGCCAAGCATTGTATACAAAGTATATATTTAAGCTAATAATTATATTACTGCAGACTTTCTATCATTTACATTTTTGTTGTTGAATGTTTTTTTTTTACTAAGAATAATTCCAAAAATTTACTGTCATAAAAAAAGCAATGTATAATAAGACAAATGAAAAGCGAAATAGGCTCGTGCATGATGCCAATTTCAGGTAAGCAGTATAAGCTCTACATAATTTAGGCACTGCCAATGTATAATATTTTGTTCTGGCATGTTTTATTTCTCAGTTTGCATGTGTTATTAAATTTACACAGACAATTCCTTGCGTAAAAACTCTGTCCTGAAACAGTAAGTACACTGTAACAGATTATAGGATAACAGCATACATAATTTACCATTTTTTGATTATTAAAAAAAAATATTTCATGAAATATTCATAGCTTTATTTTAAGTAGACTTAAGTTAATGAAACTAATAAAAGCTTAACTATATCAATTGATACTAAAAAATTACCTGACAATTTTATCATCAATACATGTAGCTCAGTCAATTTATTTAAATAACTTAAATTTTCTGAATCAAGATCTATCTATTTACAGATGTATATAAAAATGTACTATTACATCACAACATCAGGATATAAATCTTAACCCTTAAGGCCCCAACACCCCAATATGTTCCTAGACTACGCATAATTCTGCCATGGGACAAAATTCCCCAGAGAATAAAAGTTTGAAGCTTACACTAGCTTCAACACTAGTCAAAATATGACTAACTTCAACAGGTCTAGGATTTCATGATATTTATGGACAGTCTGTAAATTTTTGGACGATCCATAATTTTACAGATTTTTTTATCTGTAAATTTACAGACATGAAGTAAGAAAATAGCAGAAGTTGCATAAAAACTCAAAACCGCAGGTTAAAATGAATAATGTTACGTATTATATGATTAAATGTAACAGTATGGTAAGATTCAAAACAATTTGATGACTTCCAATTTTCACTTTTAGCAAAAATTTCAAAATCATCATACAAAGATGAAACTCACCTTATTACCTTTGTAAATATAAACAATCAATAAAACAACTTGTCTTAAGCTGCGGATTTTAGTGTAAAACTAAAAACAGCAAATTTCTCATTGAATATCTGTAAATTTATGGATTGAAAAATCTTTAAAATTTTAGACTATCTATAAATTTACAGACAGTCCATAAATATCATGAAATCCTAGACCTGTTCAACACCTACATGTAAGGCTAAATGGTAACTGCATTTCAGTAAACGGTTTTAGACATGTTTATTATGTTATAAGAATTATATGCTTATCAATGAATTGTAAATATGTCATGCATACTTCTGGACATACTTTTGAAAAAAAAAATACATAGTCATCAACCGTAGGATGGCTTGGCTTATCAACACTAAATCACACCCTCAAACAATTATTATAAATTACAGTCGTAATAACGTGAATTTGTTAGATTAAAAGAATAAAACGTGTGTACCTTTAATAGAGTAATTAACACTTCCACAAGGAATCCAGTCTTATGGGCTTGCAGTTAAAAGCAAAACGCCCTAAAACCCCGAAGTTCCGAAAAAAGAAGTACACAAAATGTGTGCTCAATACCTGTATAATCTATTTTTAGACAAGACCGGTTTCGTTTCAAAACACGAATGTTTTACGGTCGAATAGATACGTGTCTAAATTTAGATATTTACCTGATTTTACAAACTTCTGTAAACGAACGTGGAAATAAAATTAATTTTATTCAGATACATTTTAACTATGATGGCAGTAATATTTATAATTATATACAAACTAAAAGTATCGTTATGTATTTAGATTATCCAAGTCATATGACGGTTTAGATACCTGTCCTAAACGTTCAATTTATTTCGTCTACGGTTAATTCTTACTATCAAATAATTGCGCAATATAAAGTGGGCGGAGCATGTTAACACGCTTGGATGAAGCGCTATTTTTAAAGTTGCAAAACCGGTTTGCAGCTTTTGGAGTGTGTATTGAAAAGTGTATTGGGTGGGATAACGTTGTTGTAAGGGTTGTATGGAATACTAGATTTATTTCTGTTCAGGTTTATTATTTTCGAAATATCCACCAGGGATTGTTGAGGGGCCAACATTGAACAGGTATTTTGCTTAAATATATCATACTGAAATTCTATACTGTATAGTTTGTATTACTTTATATATATACTGTTAATATACCTTACATGTCACTGATGAATGTGATACTAGAATGTGTATGTTACTGCACGCTAGATTGTTGTTGCCTAAAATTAATGTTACTTACAAAATGTTTAAAAACTATATCAGCTAATCCAAAAGTGTGAAATAAAAAAAGGGAAAAATATACTGACAAATGGAAAAAAATTTTTATATATTCAAAAGGATTATTTTTCAGTGCAACTTCGTCTCTTGAAGTATTACAAAGTGCTGCTAAATAATATTTGTATAAGGTCAAGGCCTCTGGCAGACACCATGCAACAAATTCAACAAAGGCACATTGTAAATGATCTGTTATGCACCTTGCATTTGGAACCAAAACACCACCACAAAAGCCTGGAAGTATAGGGGTCTTGTATATAACAGAAAAAGGTCAACACCAGAAAATCTGTAGTGAAGACCTTGTTGTCCTGCTGATAAACACCCCAACACCCCAGCTATGATTTGGGCTTATCATATTTATTTATATACAGGGAAATATACATAAACACATACTATATTGTCACATATAGCAACATACATACATAAAGCACACAAAAATGCAACAAAAATGATTATCAAATTATTCAGTTTGTTTCATGTTACCAAAGGCTTGCCCATTAAGCCAATTTACTGTAATATTAATAGTTAATACACTAAATTATATAATAATAAAAAGTCAATTATTATGAAGTTAAAAAAAAATGAAATAATTTTGCCAACATATAGTACTGCAATCAAGACACATTTTCGATATGATGAGAATAATACATTGTACTTTAATTGCTAATTTTAGGCATGAAAACAAAATCAAAATTAATACATAAATACATGCATGTTATTTAGACAGTGATTTGGAGCTATAAATGTGAAAATGATATATATATATATTTAGTTATGTATAAGTGTTCACATAATCATGTATTTTTATCTGTATTTGTGTATTTCAGGACATCTGGTAGGATGGAGTTGTGGTTATCTTTCTTCCTGACTTTAGGTGTGTATACCTCTTTTCTTTTAAAAAAAAACAGTTCCTTCATTCATGATATAAAAAATGTTTATATGAAAAATGTCATCTTCAGCATTTAGGAACTATAGTACAATTGTAATATAATACTTTGTTAGACTTTCTACCCTGTTCTTCAATGGATTATTTGAGCATCTTTCAATCTGGGCATAACCATTTGCTTAAATCCGGCTCTGCACTAATCATTTTGTGTAGAAAAACTTGTTGCTGCAACAATAATAGATTTAATGATAATAAATAGAGGATATTTAATGCGTGTATGTTCAACATTGAATTTAATGAACAAGTGGAATAAATCTAGTGATAAATATCATGAATATAATAAATATCCTAAATAAGAAATATTAACGGTAAAAAGGTAAAAATGAACATCTTTTTCACTAACATGCCTGTGGTGTACTGCTAATATTTAGTGCATCTTTACACAAACAACATCACTTCAAAATATATGCACCACTGTGCAATACTGTTTTTACAGAGTCACAAAAGTGGCACTTCTACTTGATAATTACTGATAATTATAACAATCTGTTTGGGATTGTTGTTTTTGTTCAATAATAATTTTCATTATCTTTACAGGTGTTATCTATGCTGTTGGTATGTATGAAATAATTAACACTAAAGTCTATGTACCTGTAACATACATGTAATAATTAAATTGTTGTTGTAAAATTTTAAATACTTTAAAATCTGTTTTTTCGACGCATAATAAAATGTCACAATGTACTAGTTTAGAAATTGGTATGTATATGTTTATATCTAACCTTTATTATCAACTAATGTTTAAAAGTTCTTACAATACATGCATATAAGATATAACTTAATTATTTGCAGTGATTTTTTCCATCTTAAAGACCTAAACAATTCAACTCTTAACAAAATAGCATACAATTGTAATTAGTTTTAAGATGGCTGTGCTCTTTTTAAAAATTCATTCATTCATTCATTCATTCATTCATTCATTCTTTCATTCTTTCTTTCTAATTATATTAACATACTAGATAATACATCTTTATAGATTGATAAATTTGAAAGGTTCTGTCTTGATCACATTTCAATTTTTATTTATTTAAGGTGCCAAGCCAACATTTAATAGAGAAAATAAAGAGGACTTAATAAAAAAGTTACAGAGCGCAAAGGAAGTTGATGGAAATATTGAAAAAAGTCTGCAAAGAGAAAGTAAGTTGAGAGTCGAAAGTAGTTTTCCAGAATTGATATGACACACTATATTTAGACACACTTTTCAACATCTTTATGTTTTATTTTTCCAAAGCATTAGGATTTTTAAAGAACATTTAAAAAGGCCAACAGATAAACCGAAGTAAATCAAGAAAATCAAACTTGAGAAAATTATACTGAGATTTTATGAAAAGTGATGATTTTAATGTTAAAAGCTATTAATAACCAATTTGGCAGTATGATATCACCACATTTTTACTCTGTTGCTAATGCAGTCAGCGCAATTTTTTCAAGTTCATTTCGGTAAATTTATGTGGATTGTAAGTGCCATTTGCAGTGTGTACATTTCTTTCTTTGTTTGATTTACAATATTTTACTTTTTAATACATTTTCATTTTTTAATTAGCATGAATCTGGAAGCATGCTGTTTATCTTGAATTCAATCATTTATTTTTAAAGACATATAAATGTATATTTTTCTTCTTTTTAATGGACAGTCATTCTCTGAAGAATAAGTTGGTATACCATTAATTTATGTCTACTTGCCACAATTTTGCAAGTTAAAGTTGTAGGCACAGCATATATTGTTGTTTTTTTTTTAATAATATTTTTCATAGCATGTTTTACATGATATTTTATCAGCATAGCACATGGTTTTCCATGATATTTTCAAGAAACATCACATGTTTTTTTTTTATCCCATATAGACAATGGCACAATAGCACATGGTTTTCCATGACATTTCCTAGCCACAGCACATGGTTTTTAAATATCATTTTCTAGCCACAGCACATGGTTTTCAAATGACATTTCTTTGCCACAGGACAGACCACAACAGTTACACAGCAATGCTTTTTCCATGACAGTTAAATATTTTTATGATACACACAAATTAAGATTTTTATTTATTAATTTTTCAGCACAATTGGGTTTACTGGTTTGTGAAGAAGAAGGTTCAAGTAACAGTCCTAAGATAACAAAAATTGAAGATGGTAGCTCGTTTATTCGAATTAGCCCACTTGGTCAATCTTTCACTTATGTTTATCTAAAGCCATTGGATTATGAGGTAGGCATTATCATACTTTAGTAAAAAAAATTTATTGAAACATAACTGCAAATTTATTGAGAAATAAATTATAAGATTTATATTACCCTGCCATGTAGAAAGTAATCTGCCAAAGGTTGGCTTTTTTATGTTCGGTAGATCACTTGAGCATATAGTTCTACTCAGATGCAACCTAACCTGCCTGAAATATTGCACCTGAGGTTGTGTTTTACGAATAAAGCTAGGAAGTTGTGTGATTGTGACTCAATATTCAACCAACCATGTTATGAATTATAGAAGTCTAACAGTTAAAAATATATGGGTTAGTATAAATGGTTGTAAGGTTATAGAACCTTAGCTGCTAGGTGATTGTTATATTACAAACAACAGTTTAACACTGAGAGAGCCATATAATATTTCAGACATCTTTTATATAACTAAATTACATGTATATAAAAACAGAATATCTTTATTTGAGAAATGAAAAAAAAATTTTTTTTAAATTTACAGCAGCGGTGCTGTGCATATATTTACATAAACGTTACGATAATCAAATGGTAAGCAACGTAACATATGTGCTGTATTTTAATAGTCATCATAATTGCAGTTGTGGCAATGGCATTGTCACTGTGCTTTCCACCAAATGACTTCATAGATTGCATGTGTCAATGAATAAGTTTATAACACTTAATTGAATGAGTTGATTTACTTCAACATAGCTTAAGCACTTTAATTTGAACCGCGTCATGACAAAACCAACATAATGGGTTTGCGTCCAGCATGGACTCAGACCAGCCTGCGCATCCGCGAAGTCTGATCAGGATCCATGCTGTTTGCTTACCTACCGTATAACAAGTAGAGAAACTGATAGCGAACAGCATGGATCCTGATCAGACTGCGCGGAAGCGCAGTCTGGTCTGGATCTATGCTGGTCGCAAACGCACTACATGTATGTTGGTTTTGTCGTGACGCGGCTCATTTATATCTTATAAAACATGAATATCTTTTCTCTAGGTGATAAATGAGGATCCATCACAGCAAAATCAAAAGAAAATCTCCATCAAATGTGAAGGTCAAACTGAAAGTGTAAGATTTCTTTACCATATTACCATATCCTCAAAAACTTAAATGTATCCCATTATTCAAAAATTTTAAAAGTTATTAACATGAAATTGGAATACTTGCTTATCTGTAGAAAGTGCAGGTGTTAGAAAAGGGTTATAACCCTGTAAGCTCTATTTTTGGATTATGCCCCTTTTTTAATTAAAATTTTTTAACAGTCTAGCATAAACACCACATGTGGTGCTCTTGTTTTCATTTATTATCCAAATTTACTTGTCAACTCTCACAATTTGAATAAACACTGAACATGAAATACTTTATAGAAGATTATTAAGTCTTCCCATTGTTATATTGTGTTTTATGTACTCTTATATTTCTTTCAGGATATTTTTGAGTCCTTCTTGGTTTTGAACGACATCAATGATAAAACGCCCATATTTCAACGACAAAATGGCTCTTACAGCGCCATTATTGATGAGGTTAGTACATATAAATTAATCAAATCTCATATACTCAGAAGTTTTTAGCTAAACTATTAAAAAAATATATAAAAAATGGGGCTATCCAACACACCCAAATGTTGGATTAAATGTAAAAGTTGTGTATGCAGTTTTTAAACTGTGCTCTCTTGGATGGCAGTGCTCTCCTTATAAGAGGTTTTAAACTGCGCTCTGTCAATGATTAAGTGCTGAGTTTCAATAAAGCATTATAGCAGCTAAAACATTTCAATTGCAAAATGAATTAATGTACTTTTAAACATATATTTACATTTGAACATTTTCAAAGGTGTACAGTCTGCCACAATAATAAATCTCAGAATCCGAGTCACTTTACTATTAATAATTATATCATTTGACAATGGCAACATAGTAATGATTAGTATCCAGGTAGCATGTGATATCACGGACACTTGTTTTGTACATGCAGGGATAAAAGAAAGTAAAGACTTATGTAAGAGCTCAGTACTTTTTCTGTACTGTTGCCATTGATGTACTAAAATAATCAATTCAAGCAAGTCTTTTAGAATTTGTTATCATATATTTCTGCACATGATACCAAAAAGAGTACTGTATAAGTGATAAAGTTAGCAACAAGAAAATGTAAGCAAATTTTGCATATTGACAAAAATCGCTAAAATTTCTGCTGTTGTAAATATTAGTCAACCTGGCATTTAAAATCTACTCTTGCATGACATGCAAATATTTCCTCACGCGAAATATCTGGAATTTTAAATTCACTTACTTTTTGACACGCGGTAATATCTGCTTATACATGTACAGTAGATTTGAGACTAAGGACATTACAATCTTTTTTTTTAGATGAAAGGCCTTCTAAAATTTGCATTTATCTTTCTCCATACTTGGGTTATTAAATGTTTATGTTTTTCTTTTTTCTTCAGTATCTAGATCCAGCGGAAATACCGAAAGTGATTTATGACGATCGGTCTGCAAATCCTATCATTGTAACAGATGCTGACGGTGCTGACAATAACAAAGTTACTGCAGTTTGTATGGCATGCAATTAGATAGTGGCGGCACCTTGGTAATCTCATTCTTATCATCTTGAGACACATTTTAGATTGAAGTTTTTTCTTTAGATTGAAGGTTTTTTCTTTAGATTGAAGGTTTTTTCTTTTATTAGCTGAACAAATTGATTTTAAGATGGAAAATTTATGTAAGAGTTCAAAGCGAAGGGAAATATGCTGGAATAGTGTTTAATCAAATTATTTCATTTCAATTTTGGACAGTTACGTAATTTTTATAAAGTTTATTATTATTGCTTGAATGTTTGAAGGATTTACCTGAAGGTTTGTAACTATTGTATAGATTATTAATCTCAAATAAATGACAGTTGAGGATTTTGAATCACCTCATTTTATTTTGTATACCCTTTGCATTCATTTCTTAGTTCTTATTTTTTATTCAAGAGTACATAACTCTGTCATTTGCAATGACTGTTTCACTTTTGAAGGTTTAAATAATTCATTGCACAGTCCCCTCAGACATTATTGATAATATAAAACATCTTTTTAGTCTTTGCACTGCTTATGTTGGAAGTGAATAATAAGCCCTGGCACCCGTATAAAGACAGCTAGGCTGGCCTGTGCATCCATGCAGTATGATCAGACTGTACTAACCTTTAAAATTATATTTTGATGTCTCTAAAAATAATGATAATGGACAGGTCCAAATATGGAATCCATATATTGTATATGAAGTCCATTTAAGAAATTCATTAGTTTAAAGGTTGATTTAATCTGCTTTTATTGGAACAATATTTATGAATTTATGTATTTACATAAAGAAATGTATGATATGGAAAATGTTCTTTTATTTCAGCCATGTGACGGTTACTTCAGTGTGGTGGAAGTTGCAGATGGTTTTGGTAGATATCATTTCAACATCTATGCTCTTAGAACTAATTACTCTGCCGAGAAATCCTATACCTTGGAAATCTTGGCAAACGTAAGTAGCCTAAATCTAAAGAATTGCCGCTGCATGATGATGACCCTCAGAATGATTTGAAAATCTTCTAACCATTGCCAACCCCTTGCCCTCTCCAACCCTTACCTTCACTCGTTTGTCTGTTGGATTAAAGAAAAACCTAGCCTACTTGAAGAGAATGTCCAAGTGCTAGATAAATATGCATACAAGTTTATCAAGAATGGTTTTAGTACTGTCTGATTTCAAATAAAATAAGTGCATGTACCACATTTTGTATTTCAATAGACTCAGTCTATGTAATATTTTTGACGCAAATTATGTTCCCTATTTCATTTTATACACATGCTAGACATTCTGTTGTTATTGTTCTGCTTAAATGTTTAAAGTGAATTTATGGTCTTTTATAATTATGTTTTTATTGTCATATTTCTGTGAGTGATAAAATTTGCAAGTTATGTTCAAAGTGGATTGAAATACAAGTTGTCTGTAGACCCTAATCTGGGCACGAAACCCATGATTCCTGGGTTGAGAGAAAGACACTTGAACCACTCGCTTTCATGTCGCATTTCTTGTCACATTTTTAGCTCACCTGTCACACAGTGACAGGGTGAGCTTTTGTGATTGCTTTTCTTCCGGCGTCTGTCCGGCGTCTGTCCGTAAACTTTTACTTTAAATGACATCTCCTCATAAACCACTAAGCCAATTTCATCCAAACTTCACAGGAATGTTCCTTTGGTGGTCACCTTTAAAAATTGTTCAAAGAATTTAATTCCATGCAGAACTCTGGTTGCCATGGCAACCGAAAGAAAAAACTTTAAATATCTTCTATGAAAAAACCATAAGAGCTAGAGCTTAGATATTTGGCATGAAACATCTTCTAGTGAGTGTATACCAAGTTTGTTCAAATAAAAGCCCTGGGGTCAAAATTGGCCCCGCCCCAGGGGGTCATAATGCTTTTCCCTATATGCATATAGTAAAAAATTAAAAAATCTTCTTTTAAAGAACTCAAAGAGCTATGGCTAAGATATTTAGCATCAAACATGTTCTAATAGGTGTCTACCAAGTTTGTTCAAATAAAAGCCCTGGGGTCAAAATTGGCACTGCCCTGGGGGTCATTGATTTTCCTTATATGCATATAGTTAAAACTTAAAAAATCTTCTTTTAAAGAACCCAAAGAGTTAAAGCTTAGATATTTAGCATGAAACATGTTCTAATAAGTGTCTACCAAGTTTGTTCAAATAAAAGCCCTGGGGTCAAAATTGGCCCCGCCCCAGGGGGTCATTGATTTTCCCTATATGCATATAGTAAAAACTTAAAAAATCTTCTTTTAAAGAACTCAAAGAGCTATGGCTAAGATATTTAGCATCAAACATGTTCTAATAGGTGTCTACCAAGTTTGTTCAAATAAAAGCCCTGGGGTCAAAATTGGCACCGCCCCGGGGGTCATTGATTTTCCTTATATATGTATAGCAAAAACTTAAAAAATCTTCTTTGAAAAAACCCAAATAGCTAGAGTTAAGATATTAAGCATGAAACATCTTTTAGTGAGTGTCTACAAAGTTTGTTCAAATAAAAGACCTGGGGTCAAAATTGGCCCTGCCCCGGGGGTCATTGATTTTCCTTACATGTGTATAGCAAAAACTTAAAATCTTCTTTGAAAAAACCCAAATAGCTAGAGTTTAGATATTAAGCATGAAACATCTCCTATATACAGGTGAGCGGCCCCAGGGCCATCATGGCCCTCTTGTTTTTATTTGTCTGTCTTTTTTAAACATAGTTTGTTTTAAATGTGTGTCATAATATTTACAGAACACACCGTCTGCTGATCCAGATGATGTAACGAGGATTTCTATTTCTCAAAATGTTGCCATCAACATCCGAGATTTGCAGAACTTGCCGCCAACCATTAACAAAGACAAGACAGCATTTAACATGCTTGAGAGTCTTCAGCCTGTAAGTGATAAACCATTAATTTACTGACCAAAGTACGACCTTACTTGAAATAAATAGAAGCTAACCTCGAAATTGATTCTCTTCCGCTAATTACATGCCATTACTTATAACCCTAAACAGCTAAATATCGTTAAAGAAAAAAAAATTTATTGCTGCATTTGAGTGATGCACAGTGTCAATTTTCTAAATTTAAAACAAGAAAATAAGGAAGTGTAAATGTACTTTGTTCTTTTTAGGGATTTTAGTCAAAGCACTGGAAGTTCATTCACATTCAGCCATGGATCTGTGTGAAAATTTTACGCTTTTCTAATTTTATGATACAACTTTGTGTGGATAACTTTTAACAAAACTTATGTGCAATCGTTAAATGGCAGTGTCTTCTTAAGCCAAGATGGTTTGGGAAAACTGGGCACTTTTAAATATTGATAGCCCTCATTCTCATGTAATGCATGTGATGATTGAGGCTTATCATAATTATCAGTTATAATGAGAGGCTCTTATTATCTATTTAATAAAAAAAATGCTTTTCACATTTTCAAATTTGTTTAGAGAGATTTGAAATAACTTTAAGAATTTTTATTATAAGAATACAATTTCTAATTATGTTTAGTACAAAACAAAAAAATGCTTAGGTGTTAAAACACAGGCCAGCCATAAATGATAATATTCTAACAGAACTTGTAAAACCTTTTTCTTTCAGAATGAACAGCTTTTTGGCTTCATAGAGGCTAATGATCAAGATGTAAGGGACCCACATCCTATCAGATATGAACTTGTACGACCACGACTAAGTATGTTATAATTCTTTCCTTACCATTGGTCCATTGGGTAACCAATCAGCACCTAGACCTTGAGATTGGCCTACAGTTTTAATATATATATATATAGTTAATTGCATGTAGTATAATTACAATTGATAAAATCATAATCAGGAACAGAATTATGTTAAATGATCCAGCATGCCTCAATTGTTGTTTTTCTTTCCTTATATGCTTGACATACAATTTAAAAAATATGTACCAGAGCATTTATCCTTTGGTCTGCTGGCGGCAACAGTTACAGCCATGCAATCATCTGTGTTGTCTGTCTTGTCTGATCATGGACTGCACTGTTTGCTAATCAGCCAATGTATATTTTGAATTTATCCCTAAAAATGATGAATAGTTTTGTCCAAATTGAATGGTGGACAAGTCCATTTAAGATATTAAGAGTGGTAAGCATTACAAAAATATTTCTTCATTATATGCAAATTAATATATTTAACTAGACTAGCTGCTGTGTTTGGCATTGCTGTCAGCATCACATTTTTTTTTTATACCATCCAACTTTTTCTATACCCTTTGAGGTATTGCTTTAAAACTTGGAAAAAAAAAATTATCATCTCATTTTAGGCAAGAGGATTCCCCTCATGTATTGTGATTAAACAATGTCATGCAATTTTTACTTAGAATCTTTTTCATTTTTGAACCACCCCACTTTTTAATGCAGTTTGAGGTATAGCTTTGAAACTTATTTAACAGTTGAAAGTAACATTCATCTCACTTCCAGGCAAGAGGACATAATTTTGTCAAAGATTTTAACAACATCATTATTTGATCAGATTTCTATATGTATAGTCTTGAGTGATCATAAGGGTCCGTTATCCTTAATTCAGTATGAATTTTAAAAACATTTTAGGACCTTTTCATATTTCGCAAGCAAGAACATGAAATAGTCTATCTCATGTATATACGTGTATTTAATTTCAGCTGATGAAACAGCACAGGAAGCATATGATATGCAATATTTTCGTCTTGGCGATGTTATTTTAGACGGAATATTGTACAAAGTTCCACTAATATTAAACAATACTATTGATCGTGAAGAAGTGCAAGATCGAACCAAAACAGTCTATCTTGGCATATTGGTAGGTGATTACATGTACTCATTAAAATGAAAATACTTTCAACTTATTGAGGTGATTTCTTTGTTTATAATTTAATAGCTAGGTTGAGGCATTTGAGGCCAAAGTATTTAAGGTTGTTGACTTAAAACCACAGCTGTAGGTCCCAGTCTAGCAAACATCCTTGGATTTTACATGTGAGGAAGCTGAGATTCAGTTAACAGAATGTCAGTGGTTCTACTCATGTGTCCGTCTGTTAGAAAAAAAAGATGTTTTTTTCGTGAATGTAATGAGGATTAAACCAAATGGTGATGCAAGATGGTGTCAAAGGTAATTTAAGGGTTAAAAGAAGGAATTGGGTATATCTAAGGAAATTATTTTAAACTAAAATGCACTTTCTAATACATCTGTTTGTGAATATTTTTACAGGCTATAGAATATGATCCTTTGAACAGACCAAACCGAGAAAAGGGCACAGCATATGAGACCATTTCCATTCAAATATTTGATGTGAATGACCAGAGACCCATGTTCAGTAATGACAATTATGTAGTCACGACAACAGAGTTGTCAGGCGCACCAGCCAATCCTGAAAACTTCAACCCGATTTCGAACAATGTCGAAATTCAAGTTGTTGACTCTGATTCGGTAATTACTTTATCTTTAGTTTTTAGCTTCTATTTCATTTATTTACACAGGTTACAGAATGTTGGCAGTTCTACTCAGCTGCCTGTTTCTGCCTGAATTACAATGCACGGAAAAGCACCTAAGGTCTTCCTCCACCAGTAAAGCTGGCAGGTTGCCATAATTATGACTTATACTATGTCGATGTGATGTAAAAACCAATCAAACAAACAAACAATCACATATATTGTAAAACAATGGGCATATGCTGATTCCATTTAATTTAAAGTCAGTTCTTTTGACTAATAGATACAAGTTAAGACTCAGACTCAGATAATCTATGGGTCTATTACCTGAATATCCTTAGATGAAAATGTCTGTGTTGGACAGTCATCTGAGGAAAGTGCCTGCCTAGCTATTTAACTGGTGGCAGAAGTTTTTGCAGTTATTTAAAATTCAGTTAGAAAAGAGGTATTTGCTTGAAAGATTATAATGTCACTCTAGTGCATTAAATTTTCTTAGTGCAATAAATGATTAACTCCTATTAAATTTAGAAGAACTTAACCTGTTACTGCACTTATTGTAATTACGGTAGCTATAAGTATTTTCTTCTGTTTTTTTTACAGGATCAATACCAGAAGTTTAATGTTTCTATCATATCAGGAAATGAGAATAATGACTTCAAACTGGACAATTCTGATGGGAGTGGTTTACAGTTGTTTAATTTGTATGCAAAAGAAAAGATTTTAGATTTTGAGAAACCACCTAACACTTACGTGCTAAAGGTAAATATTTAGTTATATACCTTACAGTAAGCCTTAAAATTTATGTCAGGACATTATCTTGTTACACTGCAGTGCATTTTAAATTTGATTCTTTAGCTTGTTCGTTTTTAAGAAAAAGTCAAGCTTTTATGATTGGTGAGTAGTTGTCCTTGTGAAGAAACTTGTAGCCCATTATTCAAACATTTCAAAAGGTATCAGCTTAAAACTTTGAATACTTGCTTATCATGACAAGGTGCAGTTGTCAGACAAGGGGCATAATTCTGAAAGCTATATTTTTGGAGTTATACTCCTTTTTAACTTGCTTAGATTTTTAACTGACGAGCGCTTGGATATAAAACCGTGATCTTCTACAAATCTATTTAGTTGAAGATATTTGATTTAATGTGCCTATTCAACATAAAGTACTGAGTACTTATATTCAACCACCAAAGAAATTTGCATGCAACTTAACACATGGTTTTAATAAAGGACACTATCCATGAAAGTCCATTAATTTAACTGAATTTTGACCAATTATGAACTTAGGAAATTGAATATTGAAACAGGCAAATTTAATATGCAATAAATCTTGATATTATTTTATATCCGTAGCTTAAAGCTGTAGATGTACAGAATCCTAATTTTGTCAGCACTGCAACTGTTACAGTTTCTTTAGTTGATGCTAATGATCATGATCCAGAGTTTGCAAATGAAACTTATTTCATCACAATAAAAGAGAGTCAACCTCGAGGCATCATAGGTGCAGTCACGGTAAGTTTTGGGTACAGTTTTATTTGCTTTTTGTCCTTTGGTCGTTTTTTCTATTGTACTTTAGAATGTTAGTGCACTTAGATTATTATTATTCCTTACCAATCACCCTTATCAATTTATATGACCCATCACCGCTGTGGGTTCAGATCTGGACTGGGACTTTGGATTCTTTCATGTGAGGAAGCTATCCAGCTAGCCTACCCATCACCGCTGTGGGTTCAGATCTGGACTGGGACTTTGGATTCTTCATGTGAGGAAGCTATCCAGCTAGCTTACAGAACATCAGCGGTTCTAATCAGCTGCCTGTTCTGGAATCTGGTAGCAATACTGTATAGGTGGTTAAGTTAGCGACACAAAAAAAAAATATTGGCGAATTTCGCGAATTGACGAAAAAATGTTAAAATTTCCTCTTAAGCATTAATATTAACCTACTTTTCATTAAATTTTACCCTTGCATGATTCGCTAATATTTCCTCAAGCAAAATATCTAGAATTTTAAATTTGCTAACTTTTGGAGACATGGAAAAGTATTTTTTCTCCATTTTATTGTGCCCCAGTTGATTTAATGCAAGAATCTACCAAGTTTATTTTTTTAGACTTTTGGACCTTAGTGGCTCAACTCCTATAAGAACAGTTAATATGTAACAGTTTCATCTAAATATCTTGCAAAGAAATTAATATAGGATTACATTAGTATTTATTTATTTCTCCAGGCTATGGATCGGGACAGTGGAAGTTTCGGGATAATATCGGGTTATGAAATTATTGGGGGTGATATAACAAAGTGAGTACATACATTTTCAGTACTTAGTGCTTACCAATATATACAAACTGGAAACATCATTCTAAGTAGACCCATTTCTTTTATGATAACATTATTCTATACTTTGTAAGCAATAACTTAACTATTTAAACAACAACAAGAATGTAACCAGGCATGTCTCCAGGCATTCCTAAAGGCATGTCTCTAGGCATGTGTCCAGGAATGTCTCTAAGCATATCTCCAGGAATGTATCCAGGCATGTACTATAAGTCATGTCTCCAGGAATGTCTCTAAGCATGTTGCTAGGCATATCTCCAGGAATGTATCTAGGCATGTCCCCAGGACTGTCCGTAGGCATGTCTCCAGGAATGTCCATACTCCATAGGCATATCTCCAGGAATGTCTCTAGGCATGTCTTTAAGCACGTTGCTAGGCATTCCACCAAGCATGTCATGTTTATGCATAATGTTAGCAAATAATGATCTCTAAAACACCTTAAGTATATTTAGTTAATACTTACAATTACAGGTTCAGCATTGATTCAAATGGAAGAATCACTCTAGATGAGTTATTAGATTTTGAATCTCAAGAGATTCATTACATAACAGTGGCTGCTTATGATAGTGGGATAGGTAACAACAGAAGGGTTGGGAGTATACAAGTAATCATTCAGTTGATTAATGAAAATGACATTGGTCCTGAATTTGACAGAACATATTCTGCTATTTTGTATGAGCAGTCCAAAGATTTGATTCCTGATATCACTGTATTGGTAAGAAACTTTGAATTTACTGACTTATATTACTATTAAATCTTTTATCTGTTAAGTAAGACACCCTTCAATAGTATTTGAAATGGTCTTAACCATGATTTCAAGGTAAAGAAATTAAAGATTTAACAACAGATGAAAAGAAAAAATGAAAAGATGTTGGTTTTGACCAGACTGCACATGTGCTTTAGGCAAGTGTTTTGACCAGGCTTCACATGTGCTTTAGGCAAGTTATTGCTGAAAAGACAGGTGCTTAGACATTAAGTTATAATTGCATCAGTGGTTTTAGATAAGTTATTATTGCAGTCAGTGGTTAAGATAAGTTATAATTGCAGTCAGTGGTTAAGATAAGTTATAATTGCAGTCAGTGGTTAAGATAAGTTATAATTGCAGTCAGTGGTTTAGATAAGTTATAATTGAAGTCAGTGGTTTAGATAAGTTATTATTGCAGTCAGTGGCTTAGATAAGTTATTTTTTAAACAAACACTAAAGAGAATGTTATAGATACTTGGAATTAATTTAACCCTTTTGCTGCCAGATTTATTAATCACTTATTTGCCAGAGGGTTTTCTAAGAAATTACTATTTTATTAATTAATATAATTATTATTATTTGTTATTAGTATTATAATAATTATATATGTTGCAAAATCTGCTAGTGTAATAATTAAATTATTGTCGATGGTATAATTATCTATATATATATTTACTATTATTATTATTATTTTTATTATTATTATTATTATTATTATTATTATTATTATTATAGAAACGGCAAAAGCTGTCTATATGGCAAATATGCCGAAAATAATAGGGACAGCATATGGCCGTCCCTATGGCAGTGAAAGGGTTAAGTTGAACGCACATGGTTCACTTATAATCTGCCATTGATTCAATCATTGAAAGCATTTACATGATTTGATTAACACAATTAACAAACCATTTTAATTTTTTTTGCTACAGTAAAAAAAACATTTTATCTTAATTCATCAGGCTCGAAGTAGAGATGCCAGTAATCCAATTATACGGTACAGTATTGCTGGTGTAGAACCAGCTGCAGTGCCAATATCTGCATTCTCCATTGGTAGTGCATCCGGACATTTGACTGTTAATCAAGAAATAGACTACAAACAGACAGCTGGATCTCCAATACCTGGCTTGTAAGTTATAATTGCCCCGCTGATTAAATCAGATAGGGGCTATTGAAATACCCTCATCATTCTGACAGCCTTGATAAATGATCTTTGTTCTGTCCATAATCTTAAAAAAGAAAACCATTTAATGGTTTATGTTGAAAACCACATAATAAGAATTTAAGGAAAAGCCCATAAATCCTTAATGTAGGGATGTCTGTCTATCAGTTTGTCTTCACACCTGAGAGCTAATTTTGGGCCATCAAACTGTAAATCGAACAATAAGTGGCCAGTCCAGGCCCTGTATTAAACAAAAGTAAATAACAAAAGACATGGTCCCTTATTTCATATTGTTTAGACAAAGTCCAATGTTTATAAGTTTCATTCTGTCCATAATCTTAGTTTAGAAAAAAAACTTTCTGTGAACTTATTTACATAAAGGAACCGAATCATATAATTCCATTAATTTCTGCACAGGGAGTTTTGAGTAATGGCCCTTTGTTTAACTTAAAAAAGGCATTTTGAGACATATTTTACAAGTGCAAGGAAGGCTAAATTGTATTGAAACTCTACATTGATTTATCATTAAATACATCATGTAATATCAAATTTTGATATTATAGTGCAGAGTTATAGCCCTTTTCATATTGCATTATACAGTTATAGCCAATTATAGAATAAAAATAGTCATCATTTCAATACTGATGTATATAATGTAATTAGAAAAATTAATGATGTTCATCATATACATTTATTATTAAATTGTGATATTGCAATATAGAGTTATAGCCCTTTATAAAATGAACATAGTCATCATCCTTAAACTAGATTTACTTTATAAATTTTGTTTGAATTGGGAAATTGGTGCTTAATTCATACAGATGGGTGAAAATACATTATTTAGGGCATTTTGGGGGGGGGGGTCAAAAATTTGTTTCTTTTTTTTATTTGTCTAAGATATTTTTTGTGAATGTTCTAATAATTACATTACTGCTGCATCATTTTCTTATACATTTTCCTCCATTTTCCAGCGTGACTGTAAAGGTTGCCGCTGATACTGGTGGTTTGAGCTCGGAAATTTCTATTGCTATAGAAATCATTGTAAGTTGTTTTTCAACTGTGTGTATATTGTTATTATTTTATTTATAATTATGATATATGGTGTGTGTGTATGATAAATTCATATATGTCACAGGGTGTGAAAAATACTGTTATGCGACTCTACCGACTGAGCTTTCTGGCTGCTTGTCATGACATATATGATAAAAGTGTCCACTACGGGAGTACCTCGATTTGAAACACTTGAGTTTTGTACTCAAGGATTTTACAAACAAAAAGATCACAGGAGGCCCTGCCGTGAGATCCTGGCTTTGCAAAAGACATTTGAGTCAAATGTATATAAGTTCTGTTATCATGATACTCTTTTATAATAAAACTATAATTGTCACATAAACAATTGCAATGAAAGAATAAACTCTCAGAATTTAATTTTCATATAATGTAACTCATAGGTACTTGGTTTCAACTCATTGCTGGTATATTGGTGAGTACTTTTGTCCATTTACAGGGGTAATCAGTTATATGGCAAATATATGGCAAGTTATCAATGTAAAGGTGGTTGAAACCAAGTGCCTGTGATGTCACCCTATCCTACTTAAAGCATTTCAATACAAAATTGCATATTTATTATTTATCTATTTTCTAAAAGAAATTTAATTAACTATATATTCATATGTGACCAAATATCTTAATCAATATATCTTCATGGATAATATAACGTTGCTTTAGACATAGTTATTCAGAACAGTTTGTACAGATATAAAACAATATTTTAAAAAAAATTCTGCTCCCTGTTGTTGTTTTTAAACCTTATAACTGATGTGTTTGTTTACTTATATTTTAGAATCTGAACAACTTCCCACCAGAATTTGTACCTCGTGTTCCGAACAATATATATAAAGTTGAAATCAGCGAGCTGGCTGTTGCAGGTAGTTAATTGTCTTGTATAGCATTCTGGGAAAATTGTCGTCTGCTTAAATGTTGTGTGCCTCATTTTTGAACTTTATCCAATTTTCTGGACAAGTATAGTAAAAAAGTGTGATTGTTATAGAGCCTGCTACCTGACAAGACACTGAGGTACCCGGCCTTTGGTCTCAGCACTGAGAAATTTGCAAAGGCTAGTGAGTGGTAGTGTGGCAAAGTGGTCAGACTAGTAATCTAAGGATTGCTTCAAATTGGGTTCAAACCCTGTCAGGGGCAAGAGGTTGTTTCCGTGAGCAAAAAACTTTCAACTCAATTTGCTTAGTACTGGTTTGTACAAGGTACAGATTCAAGAGTGTTTAAATAAGCTTATAGCTTCCAACACAATCAAACTAAAATAAATTAGTATAAACTAAAGGCTGTAGAGATCATGCTTTTTAGGCTAAGGCGGTAATGGCTTGAACATGTTAACAGTAAAGAGTCAGGCCAGCTTGAACATTTGTATAAATCAACCAGGCTTGTAACTTGATTAAGATTTGTTTTCTTATATTGAAAACCCTTTATGATTCTTATCAAAGTATATATATACATATATTCAAAAAGAAGGACAAAAAGACCTTAAAAGTTCAGAAAGGGGAAATGTTAAGATGGGAAACAAAAACAAAGTCAAATTCAATACTTTAAACTTTATCCCGAAACTTCAGTCAAAACAGATCAGGTGAAAAGAAGTATTTATATTCAGGCTATTTATTTATGTTAGAAGTTAGTATTTGACTCTGATTGTGACAGGTTCATTTATTTTATGTCCCAGGTTTTACCGTAATTGACTTGAATGTTACCGACCTCGATGGTCAAGATAACGACAATGGCATAGTGACCTTTCAGTTACAGAGTGGGGCAAATGATGATTTCCTCCTCACAGGGGATTCTGGGATCATTAAAGTTACAGCAGACGCTAAACTGGATATTGAAGAGAACCAACCGTCCTATGAAATAGTGGTAAGTATGTTATTTTTAGAATTTTACTTTTACGGTTATTCAGATAAATACAAGCATTTAATAGACCTTTTAGTTTCTTTATAAGCAACAAATGGTTAAAAGAAACATAATCAAAATTTTTGTGTATAGAATACCTTAAATCTTCAAAGAGCAAAATGGTAAAATTTTAAATAATAATCTTGTGTTAATGAAGAAAGAAAGAAACAAACAAAGATAGAAACGTGTTACATGTATTTAACTTTTATTGTAAGAAGCATGTTAAAGGTTGGGTGTAAAATGGTTGTAACTAAAACAAAAAAAGAAGAAAATATCCAACTACTTGGTGTCAAGGCTTAGATTTTATGTATCTAAACCATGTATGATCTGAAGCTAATTCTTTTCATGCTTTTTCTAAATTGTTCTGTAGCTTTTATGAATGAAATGCACTACATTTATAATAAAGGATCTCACATGAGTTGCTGTTTAATTTAAATTTTAAAGAATTTGTTATACATCTAGCGATAAAAAAATCAAATACTGGCTGCTGGTACATATTGTAACATTGGGTAAATGCTGTCGACAGCAGAACCGACCTCATTACCTACTTTAACAGCTGCATGTAACTATCAGTCTGTTCCAATACCAAGAGTGGTGGCATGGCCAAGTGGTTAATGTGTCGGACTAGCAATCTAAGTATTGCTGACCGCATGGGTTCGAACAACGTCAGGGGCAAGTCGTTGTGTCTGTGAACAAGAAACTTTACACTCATTGCTTTGTACTGGTTAGTTTCAAGAACAGATTCGAGAGGGTTTCAGTTAGCTTATAGCTTCCAACACAAACAAACTTAAATAAATTTGTATAAACTAACAGAAAGTGTTAGGTCAGAAAACCATCCCTTGACCTATACAGTATCAGTGACTCCTTATACTCTAAGCTACTATCAATAAAATGATTTGTTGCTAGGTTGTAGCCACGGACAAAGGTACACCTCCGTACTCAGCAACGGCAACGGTCCAGATAATATTGTTGGATGCAAACAACAAAAGACCAGTCTTCGTTAATGCTTTATACAGGTTCCAAATGCGTGCTGATTATGGTAAGTTAATGTTTTTATTGTTTAATAGACACTGAAATGTGTCAGAACATTAGTTATTATTGATTAATCCCCACCCTGCTGTCAATTTGTCAAAAAGAACAACCTGCCTTATATTTTGAATAGAATTTTTTTGCGAGTTTCTTCAATGTCATACTAATTCAGCTTACAGCTAAGCAGTCTGTAGGGTTTGGTGTCAGACTGGGTCTCTCCGATGTTATTGTCAATGTTATTGCTAAATCAGAAGGCCATACTGAAAATAAGTATACATGTCCTCTTTTTGTGTAAACTTTTTATTTTAATTTTTTAATAAAGCATTAAGTGCTACAAATGTATAGTAAACTTTCAAATTTTAATAAATACAATCCCTGATCTTGCTTTTATAATCTTCCAGTTGTCATTGCGGAGTGCTCATAAATTTTTTAATTGCCAAAACCATTTTATCTTTATACAGAGGTTGGAGAATTTATTGGACAAGTAGGTGCCACAGATTCAGACAGTAATAGCCAGCTTGTATATAGCATTGACTACACATCTGTTACCTTCAACAGACAATCCAATAACCAAGATCCAATTGATGCCACTGTAAGTTTCAGCAAATATAAAAGTTGATTAGAAATGCATATGAAACAATCTAGCTATTGTTAGGAAAATTCTTCTATAGCAACAGGCGGATTCTTATGTCTGAGACAGAGAGTTAATGTTTATAATAATTATATAAATTGTCAGGTTACAGATTGATATGTCAGTTTATAATTTTGTTAGAGTTTTAAAGGGTTGACTTGCCAGTGTATACATGACGTTATAATTTTGTTCAAATGACTGTCTCAAAGGACTTGTTTACTAGTTTACAGTTTATTTTGTTAATATACCACTCAAATGACTGCCTAGCCTCCTCATAGTATATTTTGCGAAAATGCCACAACTCGGGACTTTTCATCCTGTTATAGTTTATTTTGTTAAATTATCATTCAAAGATTTTATTTACCAGTTTATAATTTATTTTATTAAAATGCCACTCTAAGGAGAGCCTAATTTGCCATTTAATAGTTTATTTCTACAATACCACTTACAAGACTTATTTCCCAGTTTAGACTGCCACTTAAAAGACTTATTTACCTGTTATAGTTTATTTTGTTAAAATACCACTCAAGAGACTAGTTACCAGTTAATAGTTAATTTTCATGAAAGTGCCACTCAAAACACTTTCTTACCAGTTCATAGTTTATTTTGATAAGTGGCGGTCAAAGGACTTATTTATCACTTAATTGTTTATTTTGCAGAAAATTATAAAGATGAATCCAGGAGATGGAGTGATAAATGTTGCAGGCAGAATAGAACGAGAATTGTATGATCGTATCAACCTGAACGTGATTGTGGAAGATATCAATATAGACGCCACACAGGCTAGACAATTCGGAACAGGTAATTCAACATTGCTGTTAATAAATATTCAAGTATTTAGAATAGCGGCATGGCCGAGTTGTTAACGCATCAAACTAGTACGGTAATCTAATGATCGCTACTCCCATGGGTTCAAACCCGGTCAGGGACAAGTCCTTGTTTCCTTGAGTGAGAAACTTTACACTCATTGCTTAGTACTAGTTGGTTCCAGGAATGGATTTGAAAGTGTGACCATAAGCTGATAGCTTCCTACACAATCAAACTAAAATAAATTCAGTATAAACCAAACATTTAACTATAATTCCCCTAACCAGTTGGACACTTTTCGCTTAAAAACCCATTAGTACTTCTGGTAAAGGAATGGGAATTTTGAATTCATTGACAAACTTTCTTTTATAAAAGGTTGGTTGGTATTTTGAAATCAGGGGTCTAAAACATAACCTATAAAATCGGGGTTTTATTTTTTACCTGCAAGATAAATACTAAACAGACCTTAGTGTCGGGGTCCCTTTTTTTTAGTGACTCCAATAAAAATTAACTTGCATGTCACGGGCCTTTTTTTCCCAAAGTAAAAAGCCTTTTTAAAATTTTCAGGTGGTTAGTTTGTGTCCTTTTTACACAAGTATATCAGAAAAAGCATGCTTATTAATTTAAAATTTTATATTTTTTCCTTTTTGCTTTCCTTTCATCTTTGTTTTATATGTTTTATTCCCTTTGTTTTCTTATTGCTTTTGCTTTCCCCTTTAAAATTTAAGTACAGTAAAATATCATAATAAGGTAAGGTAACATTGACTTTCATTAGACATTTGTGACATTCATATCAATTATAATTTTATACACTGCTTCAATAAATGTATGATCCATTTTGCAATTCTAATCGGGCAAGTGTATACAGTATAACGCTTCAGACTAGTAATCTAAGTATTAGGGCAGTACATGTATTATCAATGTAATATCAATGTTTCATAAAAACTTGTGACAGCTAAGTTATATTGCTGTGTATTATGAAACAGTAACTGTTGTTGGCCCTCAGGATTGACTATAAAAGCTTATGGTAAATTATGTTATACCCTTACAACCATAATTATATACTGGGGCCATGTAACATGTCAAAGAGTTTTTTTTGGAACAAATTGTATTATTTAGTTTAAGGCAAAGAAATAAAACTTAGATTTTACCTCTGCTATGGATAAGAATTTGCTTTGTATTTTATTTCAGCATCTGTGGTTATATTTATACTGGCGGCTGTAGATCCCAGTATTTACTTCACTCATGGCGACTGGAGAAAGGATAGGCCGATTATTAACCTGTCTTTCTCTGAATCGGAAAACATTAACTATCAAATACTGAGTTTGAAAGCAACTGACCCGTCGATACCAGAGACTATAGAAGATTACCGTGAAGTTGAGAGTAGTGATGTTGAAGATTACTTCTCTTTGAAAGGACGTAAGTAATCACAAATTTTCAATCAATGATCCCTTAAGCGCCACTTGATCAAGATAGACATGACCCATTCTAAAGTTAGGGTGGGTAGTAGGAAGGGCAATGATCTGAGGTTTTTAACTTCTCTTCATGCCAGCAATGCCGTGTCAATTTTAATGATTTTGTTTTCATGCCAATATAGCTATGGAAAGTTTCAACTTGTGGTGTGGACGCTTTTAGAAAGGATTTTATTGTCTGACTGTTCTTGGATCGCCAAGCTTTAACCAAGAGTTTGAAAATACAAAGAATGTACAAAAATGAAAGTATAAGTATCAGTCATTAATCAGAGTCAATGTTACAATTGATAGTAGCATTTAATTGAATATTATAAGTGCATGTACTTATAAGAATGTGAAGTAATTATAGTGCATGTACTTATAAGAATGTACATTATTTTGTATTTTCCAAAATACTTGTTACATTCTTCACATATGAATAAGTTACTTAAAGAACCATCCAAAATGAATAAATCTAATACTTATGTTTATATATGGCAAAGGGAACTTCCTATTCTAATGTGAAAGATAATCTACACCTTTGTTGTTTTTTGTCAAATTTGTTTTTAGCATTAATTAATAACAAAAAAGTAAAATTTAAGTGTATAAACAAGTGATATAAAATTTAAATCATTTGAGTTCTGACCTTAGATAGCAAGGTTAGTGGCAAAGATTAATGTCTTTCAATAATAAAAGAGGACATTAGCTTGAACTCTGCTTTGCTCATAAATACATATTTCTTCATCAGACACCAGTAATGTTGTTTTTTTTCCCAGGACATAAATATGAAAAGTTATTCAAAAAAGCATGTTTAGAAAATAAATATATCAGCTTATTATACAAGTAAGGTTAGTTAAGTATATTTATACTAATTAAGTATTGACTTACAGTTTATGGATCAGGTAAGATAGATAAACACAAGAGTGAAACAGATTCTGTTTTTTTGTTTGACCTCCTGTTGAAGGGGGTTGTCATATAGTTGTCACAATTTAGTTATCAGAGTGATTGTTTTAAGTTTCTTGTCTTGTTTTAATGTAACATTTTCTTTACATAACCTGTAACCTGCTGGAACCAGAAGTAAAAAGCATCTGCCCCCAGTGTTAAACTAGGGCAGCCACAATTTCCCTTGAAGCGTGACAAGGCTCATCAATTTTTTGTATTTTAATACTTAAATCCGTTTTACTTTGAATGGACTGTTCTACCTTTACTTTGAATGGACTGTTCTGCCTTATCTTGGAATGGACTGTTCTACTTTATCTTGGAATGGACTGTTCTACCTTTACTTTGAATGGACTGTTCTACCTTTACTTTGAATGGACTGTTCTACCTTAACTTTGAATGAACTGTTGCACCTTTTCTTTGAATGGATCGTTCTACCTTGACTTTGAATGAACTGTTCTACCTTTACTTTAAATGGACTGTTCTACCTAACTTTGAATGGACTGCACGGTACCTTAACTTTGAATGGACTGTTCTAAATTGACTTTGAATGGATTATTCTACCTTAAACAATGGACTATTCTAAACTCAAAGCTGGGTAAATCCATTATACAGATTCAGCAGGTTAAAGGTTAAATCTTATCTGAGGTGATTTGTAATCTATATGTTTTGAAATTTACAGAGATTTTGTATATATATGTATATATATGTATATATATAGTCACAGATTCATTTTCAGTTTCTTCTTACATGAAATTCATCATGCAAAAGCAATGTATTATAAACAAATAATAGCAATATCTGATGCAACAAATGTTTTTGACACTATATTGTATATGGGAAAAGAGATGTAACTTTCTCTATTGAGCACAATAGGCATTTCAAACTTACACTCACATATAAGTTGTGGCACTAACATGCCAGCTGTTAAATTCTAAAGTTCTGAATCTTGAATATGGCACAAGTAACATAATATTATGCTGATATGAAAACTTTCCAAATATTATTACTTATACTTGAATATAAGTTTGCTCTTTGTTTAATGTTATGTGTGAAAAAATCAAAAACAAACTGTTTTGTAACTTCAGTTTGTCGACTAAATTATAACCTACATATAATTAGCATTGATCTGTGTTAGTTATGTTGATATAATATTGAAGCTAGATAGTAAATGTTATTTGTGGGGAGAAATAATTTTGTTGATGAACATTATATCCTGCAATCAAATAAAAAAAAATTTCAATGATTATAATACATGTACTTTAAATCATTATTTTGGTATGAATTTGAAGACAACATGTTTGTATATTAGTTTTCTTTGAAATTTTCACTGAACATTTTGTTAGATCTTCATTATGTAAAGCAAAGACCAATTAGAAATATCCAATCTCAGATAAAGCTTGTTTAATAAATGGAAATGAGCTTATTTTTAAATTATGACTGATACCAGAATAATGGTGGAACTTTTTTTATTATTTATAAGGTAGTTAATTTTAAAGCTGTACATTTTGGCATTGGTTTGGGTTAATCTTCTTGGTTAACGTTTTCAGTTAAGTTTTCATTTATGGTCATTAACTTCAATACTCAGCAATGTTATTACATTGAAATTTAATACATGTCATGTATGTTGATACACCTTAATGAGATTTACTTGTCTTGTGCACTTTTTTCTGGTCAAGAGGTCAGAGGTCAAGGTCTAGAGTAGCCAAAAATTTGGTCATTAAATCAAAGTGCAGCATGTAGAGAAGTCACCAGGAGAGTGCTGCACCTCAGATGGCTTTATGTTAAAATCTATAGGAGATCTTCACACAATTTCTTGACTACATTACACTTTAATTACATAATCAGATGTTTTTTGTGTGTGTTGCATTGCAATAGTGTATCTACATCAAAATAATGCCTTGTTGATTAAATGTACACTACAATGTATATGCTTTGATGTGTTCATGTCTATACAAAGCATTAGTACCTTGTGATTGAAGTTTCTATATATATATCATTATAATAATCTTTCTTTGTTTCTAATTTTAAAGCTGTTTCAAGATTCTTATATGATGTAAAAAAATATTGTGTTTTATACTAAATCTATAGCACTCACCGTAACACTTGTTCAAACATTTTGCTGAATTCTTCAGAAAAAAAAAATTCTTTGAATTAATTTTGTTGTTGAACATTGTCCTGCAATCAATATGTACATGTATTCCTGCATGTATGTTCAAAGACTTTAAAAAGTTTATTGATTTTTTTATATTTACTCCTGTGCCTGGTTAATGTGCCTCACGTAAAGCAGGGGCACCTTGAATATTCATTTCAGTAGAGCTTGAAAATTGGGACTAAAAATGGACCCTAAAAAAATCATGGTATACTTTGTTTCCACAGCATATTGATTTAATAATCATGTACAGTAATGGATTCAGTGTAGTCTTTGATCTAGATATATGTGCAAATATAAAGTGTGCTTTTTTGTTCAACAGCATATTTGTCGGTAAAGAAACCTTTTGGACTACGAAGTTTGCCGAGACAAAAAGGTATCGGGGGTTTTTGGTTTTTCTCTAATAAACTGAAGACGCAACGGAAACCCCAATTGTATCAGCGGAAAGATTAAAGAAAAGCCCCAGAATTTTAAAAAAACCCTGGTGGTTTAAATAAATACCATAACTTTTTTTTAGTTTACATAAAAAATTAATTTTAAAATTCCAATCTTCAAATGAGTTTAATTAGGTTTTTGTTTACTTTCAGTATTTTAAACTTTTTTAAAAACCCCCAAAATTTAAAAAAGGTTTACCTCACACCCTTACTTTAAATGTTTCCCACCCCAATTCCATTGAATGTTAAAATTTTTGTTGTCCCGAAAATAAAAAATAAATATGTCTTTTTCCCAAGTCTTTCCCTTCAAAATTAGATTTTTTTATATGAATATATGTTTATGATCTGAGTGCCTTTCCCCAATTTGTATAATTATCCATCCAAACACAAAGTGCCTTCTCCAATTTCAATTCAATATGTATTGCGTTCCGCTTCCCTTTCACAAATGTATAATAACTGTCCCTCTTTGGGACAAGAGACATACACTTTAATCACTACTAAGTCTGATCTATGCTTGTCAGAAAGAAAACATAACAAAATTGTTTGCATAAAATATATTCTTTAATTTTATATTATCTTGATTTCAGTACAAATTTACTGTCACTGAAGGCAAAGGTTCACCATATGAAGTTGGTACAATAAAGGCTACAGACCGTGATACTGCAAGTTTTGGACAGGTTGATTACTACTTTGCTGGGGAACAAACAGTGTTTGATATATATCTTGGAAGGGTGAGTTTTAACATATTCATTATAACTGGTTTAGCTGTCCATTGTCATAAAAGGGTCTCCCACTGAGGTTTCTTGAAATGGCTTGACTGGAAATACTTTTTCAAGCAATATCTTTTGGAAACATGATTTATATGTAACATGCAAGAAAAAAGAATCAAACACTGGCTGTTGTCACAGACTGGAATATATAGCTGACTTCAGTAGCTGTTAAGCGGAATCTAGGCAGACAGTTACCCTCGAACTACTGATATTCTGGTCTTTACCAGCAGTCAGTGTAAGATTCTTATATAGTCTATTAGAAAATACGAGTTTGCAGGTTGGTCTGACACGTAAATGATATCTGCCAAGTTATGTCATTTACGGGCTCAAATAATGTAATAATAAACAATACATATGTCTGCAAGAAGTGATTCTCTTCCACTGATTAAAATATATATGTTTTTTTTTTACAGGACAATGAGGCCGTGATTTTTGTAGCAGAGAATGGGGTGTTGGATTATGAGACAAATCCTATTTACAATCTTGTTGTAGTTGCAGAAGATAACCCGGGCAAGCAAGACACAGTCAAATTTGTTACTTCAGTAGATGTAAGACATTTCACATCATCTAATTTTGTTAATTTCAAATGAAAAATTAAATGAACAACTTTCATGTAACTTATTTTTCAGCATTATTGAATTGTTTAACCTTGATTTACAAAAGTAGACTAGCAGTATTACTCCTCTTATTTTGAATTTACCCATCGTTTTATACAGGATTTTCAAGTATGAAATTGTTTGCAGATATAATTACAATGACAGTCTGATTATTGCAATTTTCTATTGGCATGAAATGACAAAATTTTTGAGGCATATGATTAATTCAGAATACAGAATGTGTTTAATTAAGGAATGAACATAAAGCTTTTAGTATCAATTAAGTTTAAAAAAAGTTTTCCACAAAATTTTTCCACCCTCATGGAAAAATTAATTTTATTACCAAAAAAATGAAAAACAAAATGGTGCGAAATTAGTTTGAAAAAGGATTTTTTAAATATTTAATTAATAAAAATATTTAGGTAAAAAAATTAACCCCTTTTTAATGTAAACGGGGAAATAAAAACTATGTTTACATTAATTTAGGTAAAAATAAAGTTTAAGACAAGAATGATCAGATCCAGATTCAAAGGAGATTTTTTAAAATATTCAATTTATCCGGCACTAAAATGTTGGGGAAAGCGGGCCATAAATCATTGCCCCAGACCCCCGATGGGGTTTAATTCTTGGACTTTTACAATTTTGGAATGCACAAAAATGGTAATAAAACAAAATTTTCCTTTTTTAATGAAATATGAAAAAACTTTTTAAATTTCCTTTTAAAATTTTAAACACTATAAGTTTTACTGATTTCAAAAAGGCTATAACACTACATTTTTAGCATTTAAATCCAAGTGTTATTAATTTTTTTTAAAAATTTCTAGGGCAAGTTTTCTTTGATATTGAAACGGTAGAGCAGACTTCTGATGTACTTGGTGAAATTACTCGTGTGGGAAGCCTTTTTGTAAGGTCAAGTTTGGAAAGTTTACCAGATCGAGCTATGTTTGAGTTGACTGTTTTGGCACGAGATGAGGGAAATCCACCTACACCACCAGGCTCGTGTAAAGTGATTATCACTGTTAGCAAAGGTGTACAAGATCTTAAACCAAAGTGGGACGAGTTACTACCCGCACGTGTTCAGATTAATGAGGTATGTATAGTTAAACTTTGATAGTAGAATTTGCTGGTCCATGCAAATAAGTTTGATAGCAGAATTTGATGGTTCCATGCAAATTACTTTGATAGCAGAATTTAATGGTTCGTGTAAATTAGTTGGATAGCAGAATTTAATTGTCCTATGCAAATTGGTTGGATAGCAGAATTTAATGGTTCCATGCAAATTGGTTTGATAGCAGAATTTAATGGTCCTATGCAAATTGGTTGGATAGCAGAATTTAATGGTTCCATGCAAATTGGTTGGGTAGCAGAATTTAATGGTTCCATGCAAATTGGTTGGGTAGCAGAATTTAATAGTTCCATGCAAATTAGTTTGATAGCAGAATTTAATGGTCCTATGCAAATTGGTTTGTTTTGTTTGGTTAATTATGCAAGCCATCTAAATTATGAATATTTTGAATTCATGTGCATTGAAAAAGGCGAATTGTCATGGTGACTGGACGATGAAGAATCTGTCATCCAGCCTAGAAATATGCACCCACTGAAATGTTCCTACTTAAAAAAGTTTTGATAAAATGTGTTTGCATTTTTTTTTTGTCTGTTTTCCTTTTTTTTTCTAACTTGCATGCTTGCTTTGAAGAAATTGTATCATAGATAGTATTTTGATGTAATTAATGATCTATCTTCAGAATGAGCCACCAAATACCTTTGTAACAACGCTGAAAGCATACCCAGCTGATGTAACATCAAGAATAATTTACTCCTTCGTTGGCGCTGGTGACGCTCTCCGAGACTACGACAAATTTACGATTAATCCTAACACTGGCGAAATCCGCACAAAGGTGGCTCTTGATTATGAAAGTCAAATTATATTTAGTGTAAGTACTGGGACATGTTTTAAGTTTTAACTTTTAGTATAGAATGAGTTATTGCCCCTTGTAATGCCCATCATATGGAAAAATGTATTATTTTAGATCAATTTAATCTCATTTATTGTATACATGTATTTATTTAACGTTCTTTTCTTTTATTAAACAAATATTGATTTATTTGTTAAAAGTAATTACTGCGAAATTACTTTTTGATTTAAACAAATATTTTTATTTCCAAATTGTTCAACATTAATGTAACATATAGAAATTAAGTGAGCAATGATGATTGAGTTATTGGTATTGGTTGTAATGAGAAGAACAAAGCATTACAGTAGTTTAAAGAAAAAAAACTTTACCATAAATTCATCTTTTGCCTTTAATAAAAAAGAAAATTCTATGATTAAGGTCCAGCTAACATACCTCAAATGACTTTAAAAAAAAAAATTAATTCTGACTATTTTGGTCAGATGGATGATTTTAAGCCAGATGTGACTAAATGTTCAACATTTACAGTGTATATTTTATACACTTATTGGAATAATAAAATTAATGTTTAACATTTTACATGTGTACAGCAACTATTTCTATACATGCGACCTAAGTGCAGACCAAGATCAGTTGGCACACTCGTCTGTGCCATTGCATCATGGTCTGCACTGGACGCTTTTCAGTCAGAACATATTTTTAAATTTTCCCTAAAGAGATGAATGGTTTTGTTAGATTGAAAAAGGCCAGTCCCATTAAAAATATTTAGTGGGGTTTGGGTGAAATAAAAACAAAAAAATTCAAAAGTGTCAAGTTTTTTGAAAAATGAAATTATAAAAAGAAATAATTTTTTATAAAGATTAAAAATTAAGATTATAAAGCAATTATTGCTTTTTTGTTTATTTGAGACACAATTTTTTCACTGTAAGATCAATCAAAAAAATTTTCATTAAATTTTTTTATTTTATTTTTTTTAACAATTTTTTCTCGTTGTGGTCCACATAATTTTTGTGTTTTAAATGCCCACGATGTCTGACATACATCTTAAGTCTTTAAAGTTTAAAAAAAAGAAAAATTAAAGGAGATCTGAAGTTACCCATGCAACCAGTGCAGACCATGATCAGCCAGCACGTCTGTGTCTTCTGATCATGGTCTGCATTGGTCGCTATTCAGTCAGTATTTATCTTGAAATCTTCCCTAAAATGAGCTCTATAGCTCTATACTCTTAGCATAAATCTGATAAGTGTTGATAAATAATCTAGTCATTGAATTTAAACATTTAAAAATGGCTGACATTGAATATTGGTTGCAACTTATTACATTAATTCCCTAAGATAATAACTGTAACAGTTCATTTTCAGGCAGCAATCATTTTTATTTTTTTTCTGGAAATGTTATCTTAAAATTTAAAACCATTTTGATTAGCTTTATTTCAGACTTGATGTATATTTAACGTCTTCAGCCACATAAATTTCATCTGCATGTTAATACATCATAATTATGAAGCTTATTTCATTTATTTGTATGCATGAATGCATGCTTTGCTCTACAAATATTTGCATTTTCTATATGAAAAAAATTGTTACTGGGTTTCATGGCATGACTTTAACTGACTCAGTGTTCTTATGTATTTCTTTCAGCTTTTATTGATATATTAACACTTGATATTGTCTACATTGTGTTTTTTTTTTCGTGCTTTAATATTATTTGAAAATGACAACAGGAAAATTCCCGAAATTTTAAGTAAGTTCTTACACAATATTGTATTAAGTAAATTGGTGTGCGCCAGAAGTTCTTCTTTGTGACCCTTTTTCTCTTTTACTTTGTATTTCTTAGTCTTTCTACTGTCTTTATAGATTGTTTGTTTGTTATATTGTTTTTTTATTGTTATTTTCATTGTTATTTTCATTGTTATTTTTTATTGTTATTTTTATTGCTTGGTGCTAAATTTCGAGGGTTTTAGAGTGAAACTGCTTCCATTTCAAATATAAAGATGGACCAGTTTTGCTCTTAGCCACAATTTGCTCTTTCACCTCTTTGGTTTTGAAATCCCTCTAGACCAGGAAATTTTTGGATTTTTTTTTTCAGTGATTAATCTATCCAGCTAGTTTTACAGAGCCTAGTGGTTATACTCTGGTGCCCCTTTTACCTGGAAAAGATGCATTTAGGGGCACCTGAGGTCTTCTTCTACAACGCAGCTGGAAAGTCACGTTATGACCTTCACAAAGTATTGGTGTGATTCAAAATCCAAATTTCTGCACTATGATTTTCTTGTTACTAGATAAAATAGGGGTGAATTTCATTCTAATTAGTGGATTTGGGTAATTGGTGACATTTTATGGTTGAAAAATATTATTGTTATTTTAGTAACATGTACAACTATTTTGTTTAGAAGTGGTTTGATTGTTATATGTAGATAGTTTTAAGTTTGAGTTTGTAAAGGAAGATTTTGATATTTTAATTTGATTAAATTGGATACAATTTACCCAGTAATTTACAAAAAAGTCAATGATCTTCATAAATAAAAGTGTCTTGTTTATGTGTGTTAACAGTGTTCCTTTTGTTGCAATAAAAGCTTCATTGTTTGAGTATAGTACAATTTAGTATAGCTTTTATATATCGAGAAATTATACACATATTTGTTAAAATCCTAAATTTAATAAACCTAATTATGAGACCACTTTAATACTGTAGTCATACAATATCATACTGTAATCCAGAATCCAAACAGAAATTGAATATATTTATGTACATTTCTTATATATTTGTATTTGCTTCTTAATTTTTTAGCCGCGTCACGACAAAACCAAAGCAGTCTGATCAGGATTCATGCTGTTTGCTATCAGTTTCTCTACTTGTTATAGTGTTTGTAAGCGAACAGCATGGATCCTGATCAGACTGGGTGGATGCGCAGGCTGGTCTGGATCCACGCTGGTCGCAAACCCACTATGTTGGTTTTGTCGTGACGCGGCTCATTTGTAATTGTAGTAGTCTTTTAGGTACATGCTCTTTTAGTACTTAGAGTAATAATATATGGTTCTTTTTACTGATCAAGACATTAAGAAAGTTCTGTTTTCTTCCACCATGTAATTTAGAATGTAAGATAACTTAGAATACAGATTCTCCTTCCATTTTGTAACTTTGAAAGTGGGGTCTACTTCCATCTAGTACTATAAGGTGTGAATCTAAACTTCTATATAATATTTCAAAATGTAGGGTCTTTAAAACTTCCATCTTGTATTTTAGAATGTTTGGTCTTTTTTCCCGTAATTAGTATCTTGGAATGGTTTGAATTTGCTCTCAACTAAAGCTGATTTCCTCTGTGTTGAGACTTTATCCTTTAGTTAGTTTGTCAAATATATTGTCACCTTAGTGCAGTAATGGTTTAACTCCTTCTATAATTTAATACGAGTTAACCTGTTACGCACTAAGGTGATGAACTGATGATCATCTTTACATTAATTTAAGAATGTATAGTTATCCATCATGAAAGGGGGATAATTCTTGTATCAGAAGTAAGATACTAGAGATATAGATGTCTCTGAAGAAACCAAGGTAGTTAATTATAATTGCAAGTTTATGAAAGTCTTTTAATTTGTTATATCTGTTATTTTTCATATCACTAGTCACTTAAGTGCTAGGTGCTCAAAATAGTTCACATATAGTTGTTAAATTTCAGTTAGAAATTTTAATAATAATTTGACTTCAACAATTTGTAGGATCATTCATTATGCTAAAGGAGTTCAAACTTTCATCAGTAGATCACTGAACTGACATTAAAAATTTTTGAGAAGAAATGAAATAGATTAATTTTGTTGTACATGTAGTTGTAATTGTTTTAGGCAAGAAAAGAGGGCCATCTTGGTAGTGGTTATATACTTTACAATATTAGTAACGAAAGTGACGTTACGCTCTTTTTTTTCACTGTCAAGTTGAGTTTTATTAGTAAAATATTTCAAAAGATTGACTACTTACCTATAATGTCAATTGATCAATGATTGATAATAAAAAAGGTTTAAGATACAATATAAAAATGACCTGAATAATAAAATGACTGCAACACTCTTTTTAGGAAAAGAACAACTTGCATTTTGAATGAGATTTGAGCCGCGTCACGACAAAACCAACATAATGGGTTTGCGACCAGCATGGATCCAGACCAGCCTGCGCAGTCTAATCAGGATCCATGCTGTTCGCTTACAGACTCTATAACAAGTAAAGAAACTGATAGCGAACAGCATGGATCCTGATAAGAATAGGCGGATGTGCAGGCTGGTCTGGATCCATGCTGGTCGCAAACCCATTATGTTGGTTTTGTCATGACGCGGCTCAAATTTTATAGAAATTCTCATTGGTCTCATGGATTATTGATTATTTTTTGATAGTTAAAAATAATATTGAACATAATTATGGCAAAATGTCAAGCTATTTTGATTTTTACCTGTTAACTGACTAAAATATCACTTAGACTGGGAAAATGTCACCAAATAAAGGAATCCTAGAAAAGGACTGGAACTTTTTTTTTCTTGGAATTATCTTTAAATGTTTCCTTTTTAAAATTAAGCTTATAGTTTAGCAAATGTACCCGGGCCATTTTTCTATAAATAATATTAAAATTTTATTCCATTTTTGCTTGATTACAAATGCCTTGTAGCTTCTTTTTTGTTTATTTTTGCTTTAGTACAGCTTTTTACCCCTTTTTAACATTTTATTTTTGAGCTCTTTTGATAAAAATTGTTTTTTTTACCAATGATCAAAGTACTTAACCTGATGATCCTAAAAAGTTTACTAATGCGCCAAACATTTGCAACATGGGCTATGCTTCAACCTAACCTTTCAGAATAATCGGAGAATAATCGGAACCTCGACTTCCAAACCAGCAAACATCTTGACAGTGTGCAATCTTGGTGTTGCAAAATATCTGCCAACTCCTGGCTAAATCCACCCCACTTCTCCTCATTAAATAAGAAAATAGTGCTTCTTTTTCAGCAAATCTGTTATAAAATGAAAATATCAAATTATAACTAAAGATTCTTTCTTATAGGTGCTTAATAGATACCAAATTCATGTACACATAAAAAAAATTATTGACTTACAGGGTATGATATTATCAAGAGAATGAATTAAGCATGCATTAATTTTACTAAAATCCTATCATTTATTACTGATTAATCAACCTAGAAATATAATATGCATGAAAATCTGCACTTAATAATAATTTCACTGGAAATATTAAAATTAATTTATTAAGAGACTTAGAGTATTTGACATCATATCAACATGTATTTGACTGTTGCCATGGTTACCATTTCAGTTGTTGGTGTTGGCAACAGATTCGGAGAATGATACGTTAACCAATCAGTATCTTCTGATAGTGGAAGTCCTAGATGTCGACGATAACCAACCATCATTTGCTGACTGTCCTGGTAAACTGGTACGGCTTAGTTTGTTATTTTTAAGTTAACTGTTTCACAGTTTAAGTGAGACTGTCAAACCTTTGCATCAAATTCATATTCCAGGGGTCGCTAGTTCAATCTTCGGCTTAGGCAAAATTTCTCTGATGATAAGTGATATTGGACATTTGGTCTAATAATTATTTGCCTCAAACTACTTTTTCAGACATCAATTTAGTGGTCGGTCATTTGCAGAGAAATTGGTAATTATTGAGCAGATTAGGTGGAGATATGACTGAAAATGTGTTAAAATAGGCGTCATTACCAAAATAAAAAAGGCCATTATGACATTATTTGTCAGAGAGCATAATGTTTGTAATCCAAAAAAGGATATAAATATGTTTATTACTGTAGGGCAGCATTAAGTTATTGCTTTTACTTCACTTTATTGAACTGAAGACACCTATCAAAATTCATCTGTTAATTATTATAAGCCACCAACACAAAGTCTTGTATAATAATTAGTATATATTTATTTCTTAAATATCAAAAAGATTTTACCACTGTATAGTAACATTCAGTAGTTCCATATCAATGCTTGGACAAAATAGCTCTAAAGGTTGAGTAAATAAATATGTTTAATACAGTTATATTCATTTTTACAGTACAATATGCCAGAGGTGTCTAATGTTGATGAGGAACGCATGCCACCATTATTTGTATATCGTGCAGAGGCTTGCGATCTAGATGACACCCCACTTAACCTAGTGGAATACTCATGGTTCATTGATAGAAACTATTGTAAGTTATTTTAGTATTGTAAATTTTTTAAAAAAGATATTTTTAAGATATCATATTTTTAATTTTAATGTTTGTTTCAGTGTTTTGTTATATCTCAGTCGGTGTTTAAATTTTTCAAATGCTTAGTTTTTATAAAACTATCTTATATTTGTTTTGCTATTACAAATCATACTTATCAAAATATTAACTCTCGATCCTGCGCATCGGTCGAATGCTCCACTTGTTCACTTTCATACTTTGAAGTAATGATAGTATATTCAGTTAGCTGCTAAGGAAGCATCAGAATCATACTAGTTGAAAACAAGGTGACTTTAACGATGACATAAATAAAATTCAAAATGAAAATTTCAGAAAAAGTGCTGCTGTTTTAAAAGTATTGTTAGTTTAAAACATTTCTGAAATTATTTCACCTCACATTGATTTCATGTGAAGATTTCCCTTTAAATTCAGTTATTTAGATATACATGTAACTCAAAAAGGATTTGACATAGAGTCATGAAACCTTACGGGAATGTTGCTCAGCATATGTAGTTGTGCACCTTGGTTTTCACTTGTTGATTTATCCAGACAGTATTTGTAAGTTTTTTTGGGCCCCAACTAGTAAAAAAACCCTTTCCCTTTTTTTTGTATTTTTTTTCCTTTAGTGCTTTAGTTGAAC